CAAATACAAAATAATTTTTTTACATGTACTACTACCGGGGAGCCATTTCTTAATGTTTAGTTAAACAAGCAAATAAGCACTTCAATAGTTTCAATTGACATGTGTGATATGTATTATTTTATTATTAGCTCATTATTAAATTATTAAAATTTTAAATGAAATAGTTAATCCGTCTTACCTTTATTAACTTAAGGCCTTGAATGAGCAACTACTTGTGCCTCAAAAAAATTTACTCATGAATCTTATTATATATTAAAGGAATTTTTTTCACAAGACACATGTCAGTCAATTAGATCATCGCTAATTTTCAATTACACGTGTCATCTTCTCATTCGTAGAGAATTTTATGTAATCCACATGTCATCTTCTAATTCGCGATTTTTTTTTACTGAGTATTTTATCAAGTAATATGGTTGATTTAAACATAGTCAAATAGTTATTTTCTAAAAAAAATAACTTTCTTCAAATTAGACTTTTGACGACGATCTCCGAATCATCAATTTGACCAGAAAAAATACTCTAGCCACAAAAATCTCCGGACCCGCCGCTTATAAATTTTACTTCATTGCCAGATCATCTCCGGCAAAATAACGTCGGGTGTAATTCGAAGATCCCATGCCAGCGGCTGTGATGAATGAGAAGAGCGTGATGGTGACTCTTTTAGCGTGAATGACACAGAGATTGGTTTCTTCATACAGCCCAACCAATTAAGCCTCTGTTGCTTCTTGAAGCGCTGCCATGGCAGAGCTCTAATGGTGGGGAGAAGGAATTGGGATGGCGACCGGCAACAAAAGCTGCGGTGCGGTGTGTTATATATTTTTTATTAAGGAATTCATTAAGGAGGTGCGAAGGAAATTCATTAAGGAATTTTTTATTTTGTTTTTGTTATATATGTAGGATAAAAAAAAATAGAGCGGTCTTTATCTTATCATTAATGATATTTTCTATTTCAAAAGATAATTGAAACAAATTTGAATTTTAAAACAATAGTAAAATATGGCAAAGATAAGTATAAAATATGTGTATCTTATAGCAATATTAACTATGATTTATTGTTGAAAATAATATTCCAAACATAGAGTGATTCTTTTCTTCTTTTCTCATATTAATCTCTCTGACCTTCCCTTTATATATTGGGTCACCAAAATCACTCATTCTTTGACATTGGAATCCGCCAATTTCTAACGTGGACATTATCACATTAATCTATTGTAATCATATGTTAATAAAAGATTGCATGGGAGACATCTGGTAAGATTTTTTTTTTCTTCCAAAGTATGATAAAACATATGTTAATAAAAGTTTTTTTTCACTTCATTGTAAACAAACCTATAGAATAGGTGCATATAAAAATTACGTTCATGAATGAAAGTAATTTAAATTTTGAATGTAATTCATTAACATGAAAATATTTATCATATTTTATAATTGAAAAAAGATATATTCTCTAAAGTTAAGGACAAAAATTACTCACATCATTAAAATTTATGAGAAATTAAGATACCGCGCAACGCGCGGGAATAATACTAGTGTAAATGATAGTATTTTGCTCATGAATGTATTTTTTAAAATTTAAAGCACCCGCAACACGGGGCCAAGTACTAGTACTAATATTAAGGCTCTGTTTGATAATCACTTAATATAATGACTTAATTTATTTAAGTACTTAATGAAATTAAGTGTGTTTGATAATTGTTACTAAAAATATTAATGAATTAAGTTCTGACTAATTAAGTACTTATAAATTAAGTGCGTTTGATAACTAAAATTTCACTGTCTGAATTAATTAAGTGCGTCTAAATGGCCAGTTCAATTGTGAGCCAGAAAATAAGTGATAGACCTATCACTTATCACTTATCACTTAATTTTTGTCATGACTCTTTTTTTTTTCTTTTTTTCCTTTTTTTCCTCGTCTTTATTTTGTCACTTATTTTTACATTTTTTTGAAATTTTTATTTTCTTAAGATAAATTAATTAAGAGTGCTTAAAGTTAAATTTATATTATGAGTATAAAAGATCTCAAACTTTCAAACTCAAATTAAACTAATTTTAATACATAAAATTTGCTAAATAACAAGGTATACACATATATGTAATAATCTAAATTTAAATTAAAGATTGATTATTTACCAAGTGTAACATTTAATTTTATTATATATACCAACAAATTATTTTAAAATTATTATTTTATTATTTAGAACAAAATATTAGTTATTTTTCTATTTAAAAGAATTTTGTTTATAATTCAATTTTAATGATATTAATATTTTAAATAACTTTCAAACATGAGTATTCAAATTCAGTCTTTAGACTTCAGACTTCAGTCTTCAGACATCATATTCAGACGTTTTTATCAAACAATGTAAATTCAGTCTTCAGACTTCAGACTTCAGTGTTAAGTGTTAAGTGTTCAGATTCAGATTTCAGTGATTATCAAACGGAGCCTAAAATAGTGCTTTTGGGAAATTATTAAAAGGAAACACTTTAGCATACAACTTTACATTAAAAAATTATAAATCTCTTGTGTGCAATTTACAATTTTAACCAATTTTAAAATTTTACACTCATGCGTGCAATATTTAATACAATTTTACACTATTGCTTTTGTAAAATTTACTAATAAGGGATAATTTCTTAGTTAACTTAGTTTTATCTATAAATTTATAATTTTACACTAAAAAATTACCATTAAATGATGGAGTGATGTGGTTGGGACATGTGGACTTGGTTCTCTAATTTTTCGCCACGTGGATTAGCCTATCTAATTTTGCACCATGTGTCTGATTGAAAAATTCTCCTTTAATATATTGAGATTCTCTATTTATTTATATTTTTTAAAATATCTGATAGAGTTAATTACAAGAAGCATCCTTAAAGTTTTACTCATTCGATGAATAGCTCCAAACAAAGGTTCATTGCTAACAATTTATCAGCAAAAAGATACAAGGGAGAAAGGTTTGAAACAACAGCTAGGCAACAATATGAATTTATGAACATATGGGAAATTTTTACATGTTCCGTTTATTTTGAATTTCAGAGCGCAGGTTTAAAATAAAAGTTAAGACTTTTTTGTAATATATCTTAACGTTTAAAATTATTCGATTTAGAAATTTTTTCATTTTAATGTATTTGATAACAAAAGAAAAAGTGAATTTATTTATTAACTAACTGAGGTTAAACTACACTATAAAGCATAAACAACAAATTTCAGTTTTAACACGTTCTCCTTAATTGATTAATGAATTCAATATTTCTATCCATTCAGCATTCAAAAATAAACATATTTTTATCACACATGCTCTTAAGTCTACAAATCATACAAATGTTAATAAGAATTGATAAAATTATAGAGTGTTGAAATCAATTGCAAATACTTTAAACTTTAGGGAAGGAGAATTTTGAAGAATGCATTATTGTTAGAGATTCTTTTGTAAGAAAATAAAAATAAACTTATAGATAGTCTATTAAAGAATTTCAGTTTGTCTGTATATACAATATGGGATCAAATATTAGTGACATTTTAAACAAGTTGTATCACTAAGAGCTAGCGAGTCATTACGTTACAAGTTTCTCACTTATTCCCTCTGTCTTAAAATTATCGTAAAGTTTGAATTTTTAATTTTACTTTAATTCGTACTGAAAATGAAATAAAGTATTAGTTATGTCCTTGCCTATTGCTCAAGTCAAGCAAAAAATCTTGCTATTATATTACAAATGCATGCCACTAGTGAAGTACACATTTTAATGATGATGTATTATTTTGTCCAAAAAAATTATAAAAAAAAAATCGACGTGATTTTTTTTTTTTTGGCCATAATTAATATTAAGTGGACATATCTCCTCTATCGTTTGCTTTGTTATTCTTTAAAAAGAAATCTCCAATTTTTCACTTCCAAGTTCAATTTTCCTCTTTGATGAATAATGAAGGCATCAAGATTTTCTTTCCTTTTCCATTTTACATCCCTGTTGTATGTCAATGGGAGATTTGTCTTCTTTGAGAAGAACTGTTCTATATATTTACAATCAAGAAAATGTTTATAATTCATAAATAGTGCTCATGTAATTAAATTAAAGGTTTTCAAGTTTCTTGTATCAACATGACTGACTGATTTCCAAACAATTTTAATGAACCGTTTTCTTATATTTTTTTTAAAAAAATCCGCTTTTTGTTTGTTTTCATAAATGAGAAAACAAAGTGGTGAAACTAGTTATAACTAACTTAACAGAAACTCAATCAAATTTAGAGTTTACCTTTTACATATTTTTTTCACTAATTTTTTTTTTTATGTTTAGATATAATACATAAAAAATGACATTTTCCTCTACAATAGATTGTACTGCGTTTCCTTAAGATTTCTATTCAAAGTTAACGAATTTCTTGGACAAATACGCAGCCTATAGTTGACTAGAAGGTATACCCAATATCCAAAAATTAACGGCTTTTTTCTTTTCTTACGTTTTTTTTTTGCATTAAAAACTTAACAGTTCGCTCTACAATTTCATCATAAAAGAAAACTAAAAATTCAACTCCTTACTTAACTCGCCATTGGCTGTTAGGTTTCTTGGATCCATGCAATTGCCCATATGTATCTCCAACAATCCAAGATAAATTATAGGAAGAATAATAACAAAACAAATGCACTGTTAATAAAATGATAATCTACATATATAGTTGATCTTATTGTTAATCAAAAAGCCATTCAACTTGATATATGGACCCTTCTGCAAATTGCAAAACACATCAAAAAGTACTTAACTCCATGTGGGACTTTTGGTAATAACAATGACATCTTAAGATTTGGACCCCCCCCCCAAAAAAAAAAAAGAACAGTTATATAATCTTCGTCCTAAAAAAATAATCCATACTGAATTTTCGAATTTGAATTAAAACTAGTACAAATCTCAAAATTTAATGTAGATTATTAATATTTTTTTTTGGGACGGAATTAGTATTTATGTCTCTGTCAAAGGCCGGAGATCATACCTTAAAGCTGATTAAATAAAGAGATACTATCTCCATCTTTTAGACTTAATTAATATTGTCTTTTTCTTTGTACCGAAAATGTTAAAAAAAAAATGATAGTAATAAGGATAGATTCCAGAGAGAAAGTGATGAGTTGTTATAGTGACTGAAGCAGAAGTATTTCTATATTTATGTAGTTCATTTCTCCTCTGTTTCTTCAAAATCAAATTTCATCTCTGTTTCTTGATTTTTAGGCTCGAACTAACAGAATCAAAGATGGAATCATCTCAAGAAAGATGCTGTCTTTCTCAAAAAGACCATGATGAAGATCAAAATCCCATGTTGTTGGCAAGTTTTCCTCAAGAAATCATACTGGAAATACTCCTAAGGCTTCCCGTAAGATCACTCTCCAGATTCAGGTGCGTTTCGAAACAATGGTGTTCATTGACTTCGAGTTCTAAGTTTATGAAATCCCATCTCGAGAAATCAAATGAGCATGAAAGGGATGATAATTATACCAATCGTAGCCTTCTTTTGGTATCAATGGATGGCTTTGAAATCAAGACGAAATCCTGTTTTCTTCACTCTGTTTTACACAATAACTCCCCTGTGAAAATGCTTGATGTTGAGCCTCCGAAAAGGGCCATTTACCCTTCATTATACCTTTTGGGTAGCTGCAATGGGATTTTTGGTGTTCTTGAGGGTTACCATGATGTTATCCTATGGAATCCTGCAATCAAACACTTGAAGAAACTCCCTAATTCGGGTACAAATTTTCGGAGGTATAAGATTTTTACCTATGGGTTTGGTTATGATGAGTTAAACGATGATTACAAAGTAGTTGAAATTTGCTGCTATGCTCGTCTTGGGATTAACCGTGAGACCATAATAAATGTGTACAGTTTAAGGTCTAATTCTTGGAGAAGGATTAAGGACTATGAAGGAGGAATGATATCGTGTTCTCCGGGCGTGTTTTTTAATGGAGTTCTCCATTGGGTAGCTGTTCATAAAGAGGGTATGAAACGAGCTTATAGTATTTTGTCACTCAATGTATCCTCCGAGACACACGAAACAAGGCTAATGCAGCCTCAGTATGATGAAAAAGATGGCGTTTTTTATCTGACCATCGGGGTTCTAAAAGGCCGTCTATGCCTGTTTTGCAGATACTATGAACAGAAAACGGATGTGTGGATGATGAATGCGTACGGAAACAAGGAATCTTGGTCTAAGTTTGCTTCAATACCGTACTCCCTGAATAATTTAGGTCACATTTCGCCATTGTCTGTGTCGAGATCTGGTGAGATCTTACTGCAATATGGTCGTTCATTGATGCTGTACAATAAGGCAGATGATAAGTTCATTGAAACTGAGGTCAAAATGGATGATCCAACCTCCCTAAAAGAAGCTGCTACTTATACTGAGAGCTTAGTTTCACCCCACCTCTATGATGTGAGGGACTAATACTGCAAGTATTTTAGGTATCATCCAGCTTTATGAAAATCTGCTGTTTTTTTTTTTTTTTGGTTTTAACTTGGTTAGAATCTTTTGCTGCCTTTTATGGGTGGTGATTATTTTTCTCCTGTTATTGTTGCAGTCTCTTCTTATAAGATCTCATAAATCTTGAGCTTTGATATTCAGGAAATGAATGTAGCAACTTATTACTGAAAATGCAGTGATTGGTATATAGTTTATAGCTGTATGGAATTACTACAGATGGGAATGCAAAAGAAAGGAACCATTTGATCATCTTTTTATCCAAGATCTCCAGTAATTTCTATGCTATTGCTGGCTCATTATACGCCATGAACATCAGGCGAAACTAATCTTCCGACATACAATGTTACCTCACTAAAAGGACTTATCTGCAGAAAAGCCCCTGGATGTATAAGTATATGGAGTGTAAAGTAACATCTGTGAATAGCATACATAGAGAATTTCAGAATTCCTAGGAGCAAACTAGATGAGACCCACTGTGATGACTTCTATTCTTCAAAGATTACAATCCAAACTGGACCTTGATCTGTAGTATATGACTATGTTACCCGGACTCGGGTACGGGTGCGGGATCTGAATGTCAAATTCGCCAATATTGTGGAAAAAACTTAAAATTACAACTAAAATGCCACACCCATATGCCACACCGTGTCGACACGGGTACTCTCCCCCTGTGTGGAGAGTCCGGGTAACATAGGTATATGACCAATTAGCACCTGAAATTCTCATATTGCACCCAAGAATATATAATGTTAGACTGTAACTTGCATTCAGTAATGGTCCTAAGTATTGGCATGGATCGGAAGTTGCCTTTTATCTACATTGGCTGAATTGACGAGCTCAGAGATAGGCTGCCTTTCTGTGTTTTAAGATTATGGAAGAACTCGAGCAGATATATGTGTAATAATGTATCTGTTGCGCTCGCTGTTGGTATATTACAGTCCAAAAACTGATACATATTGGGGGTATATATCGGCAGATTGATTATGTATTTTGAGAGCGTAATTTCACCTTATAACCATACACATATAGAACTTGGCTGATATTCCAGAGAAAGTGATTAGAGAGAGATATGATTGTAAATTGTGGGTCTTCAGCATTAACATTAGCAATTCATCATTGATGGAAGCAAGTCTTAATCATTGAGGTCACTTAGATGACTGCCAAAATAAAGTCTGAAAAGCTTATTGTTAGCAAATTTAAGTTTCAAAGAAGGCAGGTTAATTATATCTCATCATACAGGTTTTTGTTTCTTAATTAACCGTAAGCTCTATACTGTTTAAAGTTCTTTGATAAACTGTTCTCTGGAGACTAAGCACTGTCCCACCCATCGAGGTGCCTACAATTCAGCGAGCGGGATTAATCACTATTGTCGATAGTGGACACCCTGCAAATATGCCAAAAAAAAAAAAAAACACGACCTAGTCATCCCAAGTTTGCCTCCGATGACAAAAAAATATATATATGTCACAAAAGATGATACTATGATTTTAAATGGTGTGAAGCAAAAACAATCATCAATGATTGAATGAAATTGTGACTTTTCTAGTATGAGATTCATTCTTTATTTAAATAAAACTTTTACCATTTACAAAATTAGATCGAAATTAATATGAGGGAGTTAAAATAATAATACAGTAATTACAAGAAAATTATGGAGAACAAAATAATGTGTTAGCCCATAACAATAATGAATGATTTTTTGTGGTTTACTCTTATTTGTAATAGCTAATAATTTGACTTATGAGGAAAATTGAATTAATTTTTTTTTATTTTTATTTACATCGAAATAATATAAAAGGATAAGGCCGCCACGAACTTCAATTATTATATCGGTCCGATTTTAACAAACGTCCCTCCAATTTTGAATTACTGTTATCTTTCCCCCAATTTTTCGGATTACATCATGCCCAACATGGAATTTCAAGGTAAATTTTATTTCAATTTCCCTAACCCTAATTTCAATTTGTCTTTCATATTTCCCTCCGATTTTTTCAATTCAATTGGGGGAAAAAAAGGAACTTACTTTCTGAATCTAACTCCCACAATTACTTTACCCTAGTAATCGATTTTGGGTTTTGCAGAGAAAAAATTAGAGCACAGTTTAACTTTTTTGTGTTGTTTTTTCTTCTGTTCTTGTGGATTTTAGGGCACAGAGGTTTGCAAAATCCTAAGGCCATGCTTGCTTCTTTGTTGGGTAAGAGACAAAAGCTTCAGGAAGAGCTTCGGAGTGTTGAAAAACAGGTGAGTCTGTTGATTATTTCTTCTTCCTGTGGTAATATATTTGCATTCTTAGCTGGGTATTTTTATGCACTGAGATAAATCTATGAATTTGATATGTTTCTAAATTTCACACTTCTCAGCATGTTCATGTTACTTTTTTTTTGTTTAAATGAATAAAATGATTTTTTTTTTTTTTTGGAATAGGGAATACCGGATAAGAGAGTACATGACAATTAGATTTGCTGTTGTGACTTCAATTATTAGGTCTCTTGCATAGGGTGATTCAGAAGAGAAACATAATGTAGCGGAAGTTAATAACTGAGAAGTGAGAATGTGGTTACTCGAGGTGGGATGAATCATTTAGTCATTCTGTCTTCTGTAGATGGGATTTTCGAGCTGATTGGTGTTGTGAACTAGTAATCTGCTGTACTTTCACTTTTGGTTTGCTTGGGTGCCTTTTTTCCATGTTTAGGTATTCACTTGTGTGGTAGAAGGGTTTGCTGTTGTACCTATGTTCAGAGGTTGGCTAATTGCAATATTAGGGTCTTCCTTTGAATACTTCTGATATTCAATTGTTAAGTTTTTGGAGATTGATGTTGTAGGTGTACGAGTTAGAGACAAGTTATCTACAAGAAACAAGCAATTTCGGAAATGCCTTCAAAGGTTTCGAAGGTTTCCTTTCATCATCAAAAAACTCATCCAAGTATGCAACTTTAAGATTATTACTGCAGGCTTTTGTCAATCTTTTCGTTAATTTATCTTTGACACTTTCATGCCTGATAAACACATTTCTCTATGCTTGTCAGCTTCTATAAATAGTAATAGAGTAAGCCTGTTGTTAGATGCTTTATGCATATACTCGAGTCTTGATGAAAGATGGTATGCTATTTTCATTTTGTTGGTTGCAGAGCCCTTGAAGTGTACTTAAAGGATGTCATTAGATGCTTTATGCAGCTACTGAGGAAACGCATGTTTAAATAGAAAATCAGCTAGTATTCAAGCTCTTTGAGTAGAGCTATCAAGTCAGACATTTTTTATTCCTATGACTTTATTTAGTTCAGTCTATTTCGGTCTTCTGCTAGCTCTGAGCCCTGCAGTAAAAAACTTAGAACCAAGGCTTTTTCTAACATTTGCTTGCGAGTTTCTGTAGAATCCTTGGAGCAAATGGAAAGTACATGAAGGAATTCATTTCATTACTGAATATATATATACTTTTCATGTACTATTTTGTGAGCTTTGGCTGGAACCCACGAGTTGGAAGTTGATGAGCTTAATTAATGCTTAAAGAGCATTGCTCTCCACCTCTCTTGGGCCCGTAAAAAGTTAAGGAATAATGTGTCAACTTTGCTTGGCTGATAGTCTTATTCTTACATTTTTCACCAACATCAAATAAATTATCTGACCCAAATTCAGAGTATATCTGTTGGTATCCTCTGAAGGTGGAATGATGGAGTTCCTCTGTTGTATAGTTACTGTTTTTTATCTTTGGTATCCGTAGGCTTTCTGGATATATAGTTGATATGTATCCTTGGCACATATTCTTTTCTGTAAGAAAGTGAGAATAATTCTCTTAAAGCTGTTAATTTTGCCTCTTTATTAACCATCTTTTGTCTCTGAACTCTTAGATTAATAGTGGATGGTTTTGAGCTTTTTCTGTATCCTGCTGCAGTCTGAAAAGATCCAAGAAGTTTCAACTTGAAGATAGAGTGTTCTCTTTGTCTTCCGTCACTTCACCTGCGGTATGTGAGAGAGTTCATTATTGAACTTGTAATTCGGGCACTTCTTTATTTGTTGATTGTGTGATCAATCTTTTGTGAGAGATGTTTTTGTGAAGAAACCAACTCTTACTACTTAAATCTTACCTGGCTTTTAAAAAGAAAATTCGAAAAAAATTAGAAAGGTTACCTATTTGGTTTAGTTTGAATATGTGAAATGATATTTGGACATACAGGTGGTTGCACGTGATATCCTGAGGAAATGATTGCATTTTAACTTACTTTTTGGGGGGTGGTTTAAAGACATGCCTCATTTGATCCAAGCATTCTTTTCCTGTTCTTCTGAATTTGGTTAAGTTTTGCAATAAGAACTCTGAAGTCTGCTTGTTCTGTTTCTTATGTAATTTTTAGCGGAAGACCTGTCTCGATTTGCGTAAGCATGGTGATTAAGAATGTGCTCAGTATAGTTCTTCTCTAGGCAATAAGTTTATTCAGCAGGCCTCTTCTGAAGTTCCCGATGTTCAATGGTTGTGTTTGATGCTCTTGTTCAGTTTTCATGTAGGGGATTTTTGTAGATACCCGTCAACCCTTTTCTGTTATGCCTTTTGCATTTTAGCATTCTGGAAAAGCATTTTTATTCTCTTTATTCTCATTCTTAGTTTTTTTGGATCACAATGTTGTTTTGGCACTAATTTGTCTCCAAATGTATATTTGGCTCAGACAGAAGAGCTTGGGCTAGGTCCTGAAGGTAAATTATGGATTTCCTCCATATTACGTGTGTTCTTTCGTTCCGCCATTTTTATAAATGATGTTCTAATGCTTTACATATGTATTTTTGAGTACAGACGGCAGAACAGATATTGGACAAGTTCGACCAAAGGGTGCTGGCATATCCATCACTGGACCGTGAGTCTTCTTCTATATTCCTGAGTGGACTATCCATTAATTAGAGAACTTTGTACTTTGCTCAGTGTAGTCCGGACTTTGGTTGTCGAATGCCAGGATTTCTTATTCTGTAGTCATAGTGCATAATGCAAACTCTTGTTTTCTTTAGAGGAAAGCCAAAGAAGGGAAGACCGGGACCAAGAGATGGGAAGAAAATTAGGCTCACAAACGACGCTGATCATGATGCGGAAGACGACCATGATTGAGGTTTGAGACTTAATAACACGTCCAAATTCAGGTGTTGTACTAATTTAACGTTCAGATTAGCTCCTGTATTGTAAAAGTGGAATGCCTGTTAATTAAGAATGACCTCTCTGTGTACTACTTCTGTACTATTTATGGTTGTAACAATAGGCTCTGCCGAAACATCTCACTCGAAACTCATGCAGATGTACAATGTCTTAGTATCTTCATATAATCAAATGTAAAAAAGGTATTAGGAAACATGGACATTGTCCAATACTATTTGGCTCGGCTGATGTCGTTCTTCGGCTTTGCTGAGGTTTCTTTTTAAAGTCATCATGGGCTTCGTCATCTACGTATTATCCATTGAGTCAAATGAGTCATAATTTAGTGTTGACCATTGACCACTTTTTTTACTAATAATGAATGACCCTATAACTCTAAAGTCCTGGATGGCGGCAAAATTGTCATTCCTACTCAAAATTTTACCCTCATCGTCAATCATATTCAATTGATTTTCGGTTAGTTAATTTTACCCTAATGTTTGAAATTTTCATCAATTTCATTCAATCGGCCTATTTTCTGTTCAAATTAACGGATCTCCATTAGTTTTTTAATAAAATAATAAATTTAATTATAAAAACACCTCAGTAATTTTTTAAAAATTTTAAAATAACCCCTAAAATATATAAAAATAACAAAATAGTCCCTTTTCACTATTTTATTTTATTTTTCTCTATTTTCTTCTATTTCTCTCAACTAATTTTAATGACCATCAAAGTCTATTATATGAGTTTTTAAAAAAATATTTATTTATTTTTAAACTCTACCGTAAAAATTAATCTTTGTATAGTTGTAATCCATGATTGTATTTATGTAAGCATGTTAATTTTTTTAATAATATAGTTTAGCAATAAAGACACTATTTTTCTGATTTATTTTATTCTTCCTAACATAATGATTAAAAACATTTAAATGAAACTAATATTCCACATAAAAATAAAATATTAGCTCAAATAAAAAATATTAATATATTTTACTGTATTACAATTTAACTCAAGAGACTATAACTTGCATTAATATAATTCATAAAAAAAACTAAAATATAAAATAATTAAAACCTTAAAAAAATCCTCCAAACATAAGTTTTCCTTCTTGAATCTAAAACTTATTTTCTAACACAACAACTTATTACCATATCGTTACCTCCATTCATTTATTTTAAACAAAAATCATATAAAATAAGCTAGTAAAACTTCCTCTATAGTTAGATATATTAACATCTCACATAATTATTACAAAATGTTAAATCCTCTCATTGATAAATATAAACATATTTTTTATAAATTATATTATGCCATGTAGTCTCTCTAGTTAAATTGTAATACACTGAACTATATTAATATATTATTTTTTATTTGAGCTAATATTTTATTTTTATGTGGAATAAGTTTCATTTAAATATTTTTAATCTTTATGTTAGGAAGAATAAAACAAATCAGAAAAATAGTGTCTTTATTGCTAAACTATATTATTAAAAAGATTAACATACTTATATAAATAAAATCATGTGTTACAACTATACAAAAATTAACTTTTATGGTAGAGTTTGAAAATAAATAAATATTTTTTTAAAATTTATATAATATACTTTTATGGTTATTAAAAGTAGTTGAGAGAAATGGAACAAAATAGAGAAAAATGAAATAAAAAAGTGAAAAGGGACTATTTTGTTATTTTATATATTTTAGGGGTTATTCTTAAAATTTTTACATACTACTGGGGTATTTTTTGTATTTAAATTTATTATTTTATTAAAAAACTAATGGAGATCCGTTAATTTGGACGGAAAATGGGCCGATCGGACGAAATTGATATTAGGGTAAAGTTGGCTAACCGAAAATCTATTGGATATGATTGACGACGAGGGCAAAGCTTTGGATAGGAATTACATTTTTTTCCTGGATGGCAGAAACAAATGTACAATTTGATTGCCAGTCCATCCTTATGTTTGACATGAATACAAGTAACTCTTGACCTAGCCAAACATTTTCATAAATACCCTGCGGCATGTCGGCATGTAGCACCAATTTGCACCAAAATCATCAAAATGATGCAAAACCCGGCTCCGACCCGTTCAATTATGCAAAACTTACAATGATTCTATGTTGATGAAGATTGCAATTCTGTAGTTTGGATAATTGATTGAGTCACGGGTGCACTTTAGTGGTAAGATACTTCTTTAGTTTCTAAAAAAAATTGATCCAATGATTCATTCGATCACTGCACTACACATTCTCGTCCAAATTCAACACTTTTAATATAGCACACTTAATCAAATTGTTGTTTTCAACCTAAATTCTTTTCACGGACTGGTAAAAAAACTAGTAAACCAAAGCAAGTTTAGGCACTTTGCGACTCTGAGATCCGAAAGTGGGAAGCAGGAAAATAACTTTTCTTACCGAAGACGATAATCATGAGCTAAAGTGAAATGGAAGTAGCAGTCCGTCACTCATCGTCAACTAAGTTCAGTGAACTATAATTGTCAATCATGCTAGTAAACAGTCAAAAGGTCACCAAAAAAAAAAAAGTATTTGTTTTTAATTGTCTAGCTGTTCAAGGTTTTAGGTTTTACATAGTGAGATTTTATTTATTGGATTCGATATTAAAATTTTCCCTAATATGCAAAAATCACTAGTTTGTCTGAAAATATAAACACTACAATTTGCTAAGTATATAAGTTTCAATTGTTATACCATACACCATGGTCTTTATTGTAAGGTGAACCCATAAGGTAAAAGTTTCACCAGTAGCACTTTTGGACATATATTATATAAGCCTATTATCACATAACTAAGAAAGTCTGAATGAATTAATTCAAACCGATAAAAACGTGAAACATCATAGGCTAACAATGTTCTATGGCGCAAAATGCAAATCTCATACGATCAATTTCATCTGATACTAAATCTTGGACCGTCCATCTCATCCCAAACAATCAAAAGCTCAAAATAATTAACAAAGGGATTAACATCATCGCGCAGCCTGTAAAGTGTATGAAAGTACAAAAAGCACGTACGACATGGAATCCTTAATCAACATCATTAACATTTTCAAACCAGATTTACTACTAATCTTAACGAAGACTTTAGAGATAATCGCTGTAATGAACTAAGTTACTAATTAATTTTGTATTGTTATCATTTGTCAGTAAAGTGGTGAAATAAAAAAATTCCTACTTGGGACAGCAAAAGCCGTAAAAGCATATAACATTAATTTTTATAAAGTTAAAGATATTGGACTCTACTTTGCTAATTATGATTGCATTCATGCATGAATGTTGTGGATTTTAAAGTTTGATTAATGGCATCCCTAATTTATTATAGAAAAAAGATAAAAGTCAAAATTAGAGTACTGCTTTCTACCTCGTGAGTTCAATAATTATTACTATGAGCATGATCAAACATGAAGTCAAAAGCCGTCTGCTTTTTCGTTATTTTTATATTTAGTCGTCTTTTTCTAATGTTTACTATGGCAAATGTGGGTTAATATCTTAGTATCAAATAATTTGATTTTTGACTCAAGAACCGATTGACAATAAGTGAATAAACCAGTGTCGATCAAAATTTAACATGTCATGGAAACTGAACAATGATATATGCTTTGGTATTTTTTTTTTGAAATAAAATAATATTTTCATTCATTTACTAGAAATCGTCCACCTGCGATTGAATAATACAAAGAAACAGCCAAACACAACTTACAATATATCACTTTGTTGTGCTTAGCATGGATAAACCTATACAGATCTACCCGTATGATTGACGGACATATCACGTACCAAAGTATGAATCTGATTTCCAATATATAGAAAAACATGTTTTCATCTTTATGCGAAGATCTAGAAATTTATTTAGACTTCGAACTCAAAATTAATTGGTAACGAGTATCATTTATAATTTCATATGTATTACCGACATGGAATTATTTAAATTATAAGAATCAATGGCAAGTGTTCTTAATTACAAGAACTTTCAAAGATGAAGTAAAGAAGCCGTATGCTTTTCCATTATTTTATTTAGTCTTCTTTTTATAATGTTTACCATCGTCAATGTGGGTTAATGTATATGAAACCATTGGCTGGCTAAAAAGGTTTAATAAAATATATAATTAGCAAAAATGTTGGGTTGTTAACGTTAAGGTTGAATAGATGAGGCAAAGGAGAAAGTAATTAGTGGTGGGAGGATACGATAAAAAAAAAAAAACCATAAGAACTTTTTATTAGCAATAAAATAACGTCAACTTGCATGGCAATATTGCCTTTAGCTGCCTCCAATCTTTGAACAATATTTGATGAGGAATGATCATACATTTAACCTAAACATTATTTGAGTCAAATAGTCAAAGTATACTCTTTTGTTTTTTCTTTTCTCTTTTTTTTTTTAAATTTTTTTCTTTTCAAATTGAGAAACAAAAACAAAGAACAATAACTTTTAATAAATGCTACTAGCATTATTGTGATATATTTGTGAAACTAAGCAAATGATACATGCAAATGTATAAGAATTAAATAGTCGTCGTTAAATGCTTTAATGTTACAAGAAATTAAATTTTGGATGGAGCACGATGGATGACATCGATTTATCTCATCCCTAAAATATACACTTTCTCAGTTTTAAAATTATTATTTAGATTTTCAATTATAGTATAATTTGTACTAAAAGTGAAAATCACACTAGACAATCATTTCGGGTTGGCAGATGGAGTATATTTATGTGTTGACTAATTGGGATTGAACTTTTGTTCCCTACTGAAAAAGTTAGAGAATAAAATGTCACACAAGAATTTGGTACAAAGAAAAGTTATCAATGTCGATTTCGATCGATCCTTAACTAATCTTAGAAATAAGTAATTCATTAACTCGATGATTAGCTACCACTAATGAGTAATGACAACGAGTTCAACTTCTGCGATCCTTCATTTCGTCAATTTAAATCAAGCATTAACATTATTATTTATTTATTTATTTTATTTTTTGGCAGTTTAAATTGACGTTAAATTCGGCTAGTTGATTACTTAATTAAGCATTTTACTATAGAGACAAAGCCAAATACGGAAAGAACTAAGGAAATCATACTTGTTATCGTCACTGAACGAGGATATTTGACTGTTCTTTGACTTAGAATGCTCAAGGCACACGTGCAACTTGCAATTAATTAATTTTTTTTCCTTTTCTTTTAGTCTTTTAGTATTACAATTGTTAAAATTTGTACTTATACATTTGATTGTGACATTGAAGTGTTGAACTATTTCAAAAGATTGAAGGTGAACCAGTCTCATAAACGTGCTATCACTCACCTTCATTGAACTTTCTAACTGTTGGTTTTACTTCCTCCGCGATTAAAATTATTCTTTAAAAAAAGTTCATGTTTCGATGAATTATTTTAACGCTATTCAAAAAAATAAATAAATAAAAATTAAAACACTCTAGTGTAGAAATGAACAAAGCAAGTTTTCTATTCGCCATCCAAAAAAATAATAAAAGAACCCTGAGCCCTTGATTTTGATCAAAAAGAGGAGTTGGACGGAAGGTAACAACGAGAGATTGTAATAACAAAATTATGGTTTTAACTTCTCGATCGCAGACACAAGTAGCAAAAGAGATGAAATTATATCTTTGTGATCAAGTCCGAAAAAACTCGTGATCGAGACTATTGGTTTTTAGATGTAAAGACTAATCAAGGTCACCATTGTAGGTAGTTACAGAAATTCATGGGGTTTCACCTCAAAACCAATTGACAATACGGGAACTAGCTCATAGAGCTTATATATTAATATTCAGAGTCTCCCAATACTGATGCGGGATTGGAACTCTTTAATACTCCTCCGTAAGCCCAACGTATTTTTTTTTAGTTGGGCTTGTCTTATTTTTTTCAGCCCAAACACCGCCTCACGACTCAATAGATTAGCAATTAGTTTTCCTCTCATTTTCTTTCTTTTTAGTTAGCAAGAAATCATACCAATTTAATGTGTGTTGAGTTCAATTTTGTTTGATGATAATACAAACAATGTACAACCTGCTTTTGGTTTTGTTACTAAATAGAGGGGAAAAAAAAGGCAAGTATTTTGGTGTTTTGAATTTTTCCAAATCGCCAAAAACCAAAAACCAATCTCATTCATTTTGAAAAGAAGACCTTTTAAAACGTGTTTGAACTTTCAATTTTTTCTGTATTTCGTAACAAGCACACTAGCCAATGTTGATCGTATACCTCCCAATTACAGTTGCAAATCGCACTTGTAATCGTCGGAAATCGTATTTTATTAATAAACCTCTTATTTTGAATCGGAAAGAATGAAGCGTACATTTTCAAAGATCAGGTAGGGTTCAAAATTCCAAATTGCCATAATTTTCAAGGTGGTTGAGCTGGTGATGGAATAATCATCACGTGTTGGAATAATCGTCACCAAGGGGGAATGCATATAATACTACATGGGAGCAAGCAAGCTTCCTTTGAAATATCTTTAACATTCGTGCATGGCAGCTCTAGTTTGTACCTGAATGATTTACTTTTTAGTCACGAAAACCCTACTAATATGTTAACATTGTCTTGGAAGGAAAAAGTTTGAGGAATTTATTTTAGTTAATTTGCTTGTGATCACGTATTGAATGAATTTTAATTACATATTCATGCCATAAACAAAAAAGGTTGACTGAAATGATGCTGCCATGAACCATCCCAAATTTGAATGGCACTTCTTACCTCATCACTTCATATTAATTTATGCAGAAAACAATACGTACTATTCACGATGATCGTTTTGTTCATTTGTGAAACTAAAATTAACAATACCTCGAGAAGAAAAAAAAAAAATTTATTTTATAGTTATATCATCCTTACGTCTCATATAGGGTTCCATTTTATGTCAGTTTATTAGTTGGTTTATGTATTCTATTTGATTCTAAATAGAAAAATACGATTCATTTTGTCACCTATTAAAATATTGAATATCTATTATTTCGCAAAAGTTATTATTACTGACAGTAGCCACCCAAACATCGATCAATACGCGGTAAAAAGAGAGACTTAGCTCTCACAAAACTGTGTCGACTTCAGCAAATCGCGTGAGCAAAGAAATATTGGGTCTTCGTGGTAGATTAATTCCGGAAGGCGGCCAAAAATCAACTAAATAAAAAATTTACCATGTTGAGAGACTTGACTATCTCAACATGGTAGGAAAATAATCATTCAAATAAGCTTGGTAAATACACGCATCTTCGGTGAGTTCATCTCGAAACTCGGTGGTAAAAGATTTAGCTAGCCCTAATTTTGTTAAAAGCTTTTATATAGTCTTCAAATTAAGGAAATTTGATTTAAATCCTATGATAGGACCGAATCAAGATGTTATTCTACAGATTTTGTATGGATCATTAAAAAGAAATAGCTATTGTTAGAGTTCCGATTTATTTATTTTTATTTATTTATTTTTGAATTGTTGGAAATCGTCTAGTAAGATGAAAAATAAAAGAAAAATTTATCAATATTTAAATCGTTCAGATAATTTATTACTCTACTTCAATTCAATTGACATAATGAAAAATCATTTTATCTTTTTAGTTTGAACGATCAAATTTCAATCAATGAATCAACTCAGTTATTTTTCACTGTAAACAAATTTCAACCTATTCGTACTGGCGGTCGCATGAATCAATTGACAGACATATCAATTGATAGGAAATTTTACAATGGTGAAACAAATGAAATTTGTCAAATTTAAATTTTTTTAGCAAAGTACTGGTTGGACACTCTCCATCGTCGCAGGAGTAACGCCGCCAAAAATCACAGATTTACGGTGAAATTTCAAAGGATTCATTGCTTAAAATGAATAAACTTTTATGTGTTTAATTAATTAGTATACGTACCGCATTTTCTACTAATTAATTTTTCTTAATCCTAACGTAACCTTTAAAACGCCTTCGTTTAAATTACATGCATCTTATCCATCTGGATTATTCAAGAATAGGTCGACAGAATTGACTATCAAAGTTGAAGTAGTAATAGAAACAAATGCGAACTAGACTACGGAAATTTATTAAATTACGTTTAAATGATTAAAAAAAATGTAATATTAAAAGTATCTCCGAAATGTCCAGATATATTTTGGCCCTTATCCAATGGAGAATCGATCCTAAATTACTATGCAGGTGCATTGACTTGATAATTGACTGTATATATTATATGCCCCTATCCAGTTTTTGCAGCTAGTCATTGAATTGATTGACCTTAATAACTGAGAAAATTAGTTGCCATTTATATTCATGAATTTACCAGCAAATTGTCAGGGTTTGATTGAAATTCAGTTGGTGGAAACATTGATTCGAAAGGTAACCAAATACACATTATTCAGTCCATGAAATGAAGCCATTATCTGCCCCGTACTTCATCTCTAAACGAGTATCTCGTTCCCTTTTTAGTGCATCGAACACGATAATTAGTTTACGTGTCTAACTGATTTGCATAATGTCTTGTTGATGGATCCAATTACTTAAAATGACCAAATGTAATAATTGAGCTGATTTTCATTTCATTTGTTTACTTCTGCTTTCTTACTGTTATGGTCAAGAATCAAGATAGCCACCCCCCCTCCCCCCAACTAATTAAGATAATTACTAAATGCAGTGGCGGAGTCAGGAAATTAATATTTGGGCTGTGCAAAATTTAGAAAAAAACTGCTAATAACATTAGGGAATCAATATAGGGGGTGCGAAAATTTATTCAAAACATAGTTTTTATTGAAAATTTAGGATATCCCTATTAAGAAAAAAATTGAGCAGGTGCGACCACACCCTCCGTCCCCTCTAGCTCTCCCACTGACTAAATGGTTTCCCAACATATACAATCTATCAGAAGCAATATGGATGTTGTAATCCTAATGTTGAACTGCACTGTTGATTGATTTTCCAGCAGTAGAATGATTTAAAACTTTAAGTATGATGTCCACTAGATACATTCAAGAAATTTGTCTCATACAGAAGTTATTTCGCTAATTGAAAAAGTTAAAGGAAGTTACATTTTGTTGACTATTAAGTAAGAAAAAACATACTAAAGCAAATTTTTATAATATCCCTACTTTTGATTGCGTTTTTAATGAGGTATTATCACCTGTTTTTATTAGGAGGTACATCTCATATCAGATTAGTATTTTTACTTTGATTATTATATTATTATATCACACACTCAAATTACTTCTCTTTTCATTCAGATTAAATCCTTTCACGTGTCAAAAGTTTTATTACAATTATTTATCTCTTGTGAACTCGATATTTGCTTAAAAGAGGATAAATTCTTAACTCGTGACTCCAACCATTATATATCAGCTTAATTAGTGTTAAATAGAAGAGTAATATATGGGGTTAATTTGAAAAACCCAACTAAGAAAAAAGTTGAATTTAGAAATATTACTAAATTCAGAAAGGAAAAGAACTGTATAGCCTTCATCCAGTTGCCTGGAAAGTGGAAACTTCATTCCAAGACTTTTCCAAGATTAAATGCTGTTTTGGCCCCTCTCATACTCCCTCTCTCACACTTCAATTAATTACGTTGTTATACTATTTTAGTTTAACAAAATAAATTATTAAAATTGGGACGTAACAAGTAATATAATTTTTTAAAATGTATCCTCCGTAGACCAAGCTGCAATATAAATACCCATACCGAGCCTAACTTTTTCCACTGCTACCATTACAAACAAAGCCGTACTGAAGTATCATTTCAGTGCTGAAGAAAGAATATTAAGGCAGCAACAAAGAAGATTTTGTGATCATATAAAATTTTTTGTATACTTTGTCGATCTTCATCATCACCAACAAGAAGATAAAAACAGCTACCTGTTTTTTTTTTTTTTTTTTTTTTTTGGATTTTTGAAGATGGTGAGGGCTCCTTGTTGTGAGAAAATGGGATTGAAGAAAGGGCCATGGACTCCTGAAGAAGACCAGATTTTGATCTCCTACATTCAGAAATACGGCCATGGCAATTGGAGGGCTCTTCCAAAACAAGCTGGTGAGTTCATTAAGGGGAAAAAAAAAAAAAAACTTTTAGAATGAAAAACAGTAAACTTTGTTGAACTTAAAAATCTTATCAACATGTTTCTTCTTGAAGTGCTTTTAGCAAACTTATTATTTGTGGCAGTTTTTAATCAAAGGGTTCTTCTTGTTAATTATAGGTCTTCTGAGATGTGGGAAGAGTTGCAGACTTCGTTGGACTAATTATCTGAGACCAGACATCAAAAGGGGAAACTTCAGCCAGGAAGAAGAAGATACAATTATTCAGTTACATGAAATGCTTGGTAACAGGTGTGTTTAATTTCTTCATCACCACCATGAATAAAACTTTGTTTGTTTGTTTGTTTTTGTTTTTGTTTTTGTCACCTTTTTGTTTGAACAAATTATTGCATTGAACATATAAAGCGTGATTCTTGATGCCATTTGCAGAGGTCACCCTAAAGAACCATTTCTTATTTTGGTTTAAGTCAGAATTTCAAAACGGAAAAAAAAAAAAAAAAAATCCAATGAAATCTAATACTGAGCCTGCAGAATTTCTTAACAATGATATTGTTATTAACTGAGGTAATCAGTTGTTAATAATTTTTGGTGTCAGAATTCAGAAGACTTGTCTTTGCATAATGCATATATAAGCCCTCTTTTTGAAAATTGATTTTTCTTTCTTTGATTTTCTCACATAATAACCCAAATTAAGATGCAAGAAAGATTCCCTTTTTTATGTTAGAATCATTAGGAAAAACCCATCAACTTGTTCTAAAATATTCTCATATTCATTGTATCAGTAATATAGCGAATATAACAGTATTCTCATAACAGTATAACAACAATAGTTTTGAGACGGAAAAAAGAAATATATAATAAACAATGAGTGGTATCAAAGATTTTTACGCATAGTTTCTATCTTCTTAGGATTCTGTGTCTGAATAATTTAGACATCGGCTTTGGCAGTATTTGTTGTCGTCGAGTGAATTAAACTAAGAATGATGGCTCGCTCAGCTCGTGCAAATTTCTCTATTGCTAATTACTTTTTGTCCATTTGTTTTCAGATGGTCAGCAATTGCATCTAGGCTACCGGGAAGAACAGACAATGAAATAAAAAATGTCTGGCATACCCACTTGAAGAAAAAGCTTAAAAATCATCATCAAACCCCTCAAGAATCCAAGAGACGCCTTAAGAAGGGTACTACTGTTGTTGTTGCTGCGGTTGATGATGGGATTAACAAATCGGAGGTCGATCAAAATGACAATTTTACCCCTGTCACGTCTCCGCAGCAATCCTCTAGTGAAGTGTCAACTGTGACAGACTCGGCCTCGGACGGTAATGGCAATAGTGTCATTAAACAAGAACACGAACAAGAACAAGACCAAGACCAAGAACAAGTATCGATGAATTTTCTGGATCAGTATATAGCTGAAATTGATGAAAGTTTCTGGTCAGAGGAAATATCGATAGAGAATACGAATTTCGGCCAGGAAGAAAGCGATAAATTTCAGCAAAATGGTGGAATGATGATGACAGCAAATGATACTAAGGAAGTGTTAATGCAATTCCCATGTTCTAATATGGCTGCTGCCAACAATGAGGATGTGGATGGTTACACAACAAAATTGGATGATGGGATGGATTTTTGGTATGACATATTCATTAGAGCTGATGATTTACCAGAATTGCCAGAGTTTTGATCCTCAATTGGATGGAAGGGCTAATTTGGTGTTTGGACGACTTTTGGGTTTTTGTATATCAATTTAGGTTGAAAATTAGTTTTCTTTTTTTTTTTTTATTATTTCCTCTTTTTCTTTTAGGTTTCTTTTGGAGGAATTAGACATATAGATGGCGTTTTTGACCGTTAACATTAAGAATAGGGGGAGTGGGGGCAGCATTGTTGTGCAAAGTCTCCAAATGATAGGATTTTTTGGTCAATTAGGATGAGCTTATTATTATTGAGCCAACATAGTCCATAAACAAGTTTACTTTGGGGAAAGTTAAACATTAAAGTTCGAAGATGGTCCACTATTATTTAATATTTCTATGACACGACGTTTTATTACTAAGTTCCAACTCTTTTTTTTTTCTTTGATAAGGCGGTTCCAAGTTCCAACTTGTATGAACTATGAACCCTCCAAATTTTTAAATCTGTCACCACAAATCAAAATCTTACAATTGATCATCTCAAATCGAATTAGATGCATGTGCTATGACACTTAAAATTTCTATAGTAATTTCTACGTCTTAAAAAAATATTTCACATGTAATTTATACTATTTTTAAAATATAATTACACAACTGAAATTAAAATTTACACATAAATTTTTTTTCGTATCGTGTATTGTGTATCCGTACTTTATTTTTCTTTTCCCTCACATTTGTTAGAAGTTTATAGTCGACAATAACAACTAATTTGACAAAAGTCAAAAATTTTAAACGTAAGAGTGAAATAACATCCCCCCCCCCCCCCTAGCAGGCACGAAATTACGAATGGGGAGGGGAGGATGATCGTTTATTCTAGTTCACATGTCTCCGTCCCTAGCGATCTCTCTCAATATATTGTAACCACGCCAATGAGTTAGATAACAGGTTTTATATTTATTTTTCAATAAGGGCAGGTTTTGAACTCTATATATACCACTAGATCAGGATACATAAAATCGTCGGTTTAACCTATCGCGCACTGAATTAAACTTTTTTTTTTCTACATAAAATTTACTTATTTTTCTTTCCTGTTATTGTCAAAATTATATCGATAAAGCTCTATTTGATACTTTTAAACGCCAATGAATACTTGTAAATTTTTGTTGCATTTGCCGACAACCTTCAGTCAAATGTAGCTGGACGATTTCCAGTAAATATGAATGAAATTCCCTCTTTTCGAAAAAAAGAAAAAAGAAAAACGCCAATGAATACAGTTTAGCCTATCACACTGAGTTTAAGCTTTTTTTTTAATATATAATTCACTTGTTTTTCTTTATTGTTATTCTCAAAATTATTTCGATAAAGTTCTATTTGGTATTTTTAAACGCTGATAATTTATTTTCATTTTCCTTAGAGAAATTATTCGGCATTGAATTTCATAATAGTGAAAACCAATGTAACCAATTATAGTAGCTTGTCTCACTCGTCTACGAGTGGCAGCCGCCAACCTGAGAATTATGAGTTCCTCTTCATGAACGCAGACTGCCATTGACGTTTTGCAGCAACCAGAGAGGCATTAAACCTTAGCATGGACTGATGTTACTGTCAACATTAGTCGTGAAAAGAAGTGTCTTTACGAAAAAAGGAGGAAAAAAAATGTCAAAAGGAGTGGCGGATTTAGAATTTTATGATCGTAAGGGCGAAACAATAAAAATCTTGGATACTAATTTGTGAACAGAAATTTTAGAGGGAATTGTAACAGAGAATGAATCATAATCATTCATTTTTAATACTTCCCATTTGAGGTTTAAGCATTACATTATGGTATAGTTTTGATGATTGACACATCATACTCTACATATTTTTCTTGTAAATTTTTCCTGCATGTATCACTAGTCGAAAATTTTAATCAACATACAGGAACAAAAATTCCGGAAAAATAATTATCCTTTAATAAGGAAAACTCTGGTAAGAAGCGTGACCGCCACTACTAATCCCCGTAATTCTACTAGTCAAAAGAGAAAGTCAATATAGGAAATACGAGGTTGTGCCATGATAGTTTAAATCTCTCACTCAGACTAAGCAAATCCATTTAGTTGTGTGGATCATATAATTTTTAAAATTATTAAGGTATTTTTTGTAATTAAAACTAACAAAATTTCGTTAATTTAAACAGAAATTAGCAAATTGGACAAATCGGCTAACGGTTTGATAGTTTAGGATAATATTGGTTAATCGAAAAAAAATAGAGTAGAATTGACAATGCATTTAGTTAGAATAATAGATATTGTATCCCATTCATGTGTATTACGTACTCCCTCCGTTCCAAAATAAGTGTCGTTTTAGCAAAATGGAAAAATTTCAAAATAAGTGTCGTTCTCACATTTCAATGCACTTTTTGTCCAAGTTTCCAAAATTACCCTCGAAAGAATTAATACTATTGGTGGACAATCTTTTAGTGGGGTTGGTTGAAGATATTGAAGTAATTTTCTTACCCTATTTTAGAGTTTCTTAAACTATGTGCAAAGTGTAGGATGACACTTATTTTGGAATGGAGGGAGTACAATATAGATGGTATATATAGACAATAACAAACCCTATACATAAGGTTAAAACCGTAACTATATATATTACAATACATGTAAACTTTTGGGTAAATCGATCAATTTTTCCTTGGAATGAAGACTTTTTTAATTGTTGTTTTCTTACATACAACACTCCAAATTCCAAACATTATTAAGGTATACAAATATTTCAACAACGTAGGAAAAAGGAAGTTCCCTAGTTAAGGTTAGTGGACTGACGATCACCATTTAGGCCCTCCATTTTTACTAATGATCAAAATTCCAAGTCCGTTGAAATATATTCAAAATATAAAGTAATATAAAAATTGGTGACTACAATTTAAGTCAAGAATATTCTCAAAATTACTTTCCCTGGACGAAACCCACGTCCACGTGACCCATGCAGAGCTGAAACAAGCATGAAACATGGATGATTGGATGTACGTCTCTTCTTGGACTTTTAAAAAATATTTAGACGACTTTGATCAAAAAAAGAAAAAAAAAGATATTTAAACAAACAAATTTCTATGGTTGTTAATTACTCCCTCCCTCCGACCTTAAAAAATAGTTCACATTGAGTTCTTAAATTTATCCTAAAATTAATACAAATCTCAAAATCAATATAAATTATTTTTTTGGGACGGATGTAGTACTTGTTTTGATCGAAAACGATATCCAAAAGTAGTAAATACCTCAGAGATGACGTTTTGAAAACTGGAGGAGAATCGGGTGATATTTTTGTTGTGTTATATGCTCAAAGTTCAACAAATGAATACATGTTTGATACTTTGGTTCAACAATTTCTTTTTTTAAGAAAATAAATCTTGCCTAGTACTGAATTATATCTTCGACAAGTGGGGGTGATCGGTAGAATCGAAAAAAGTTTAGTCCAATTCAAACAGTTTACAGCATAAAAGCGAGAGTGATGACTGATCAGTGGCCAGCTATGGGACGAAGATTGCGGTCACACCCGGCTCAATTTTTTTTAATTGATAAAAATATTCTAAAATTTTAATAGAAAATTATCTGTAATATAATTTTTCGCACTCTTTAAACTGATTTCCTAACTTATTAACAATTTTTTTCCAATATTTTACACCCCCGTGTTAATTTCCTGACCTTGCCACTGTGACTGATAATCAATCAAAAACATCGTCTTTTGTTCAAATATGTTTTTCAAATCATTCACAAAATATATCTCTTACAAACGTCATTTCGAATATAAGAACGGATAACAAATATGTGAAAATTAAAACAAAACGGACTTCGAACGGAAGTCAGTCTTGCACCACAATTTGGTAAACTAGAGGCAGAACACAATTCTCTTATTACAACCGGAGATTCAAAGAAAATGACGGAAAAATTGATGAACTTCATTTAAAGGAGTTAGAAAAAGACCACATGCCTTTCGCTTCCTAGTTTTGGTAATTTGATGCGGAAAGGTGCGTGAAATTTAACTAAAAATACTTCTTCCGTCGCAAAATTATTGTTCAATTTGAATTTTTCATTTCTAGTACAAATTCATACTGAAGGTGAAAACCCAAACTGGATAATGATCGTACTAAATGTGAAAATTCGAATTGGACAATAATTCTGAGATAGAGATAGTAATAGTATATAACATAATATTTTCAAAATGTAAGATGTACTGAAAAATATATCTTCATTAATTAAATAGCACAAAATTAAAAATTAAGGCACGACCATGTCTGCCTGTTCTCAACTCCGACACAGATTTAATGTACAAATTCTGTATATGCAGCCCTTTGAAATCTCCAAGTTAGGCTCTTTTTTAAGTTGTCGTGGTGGTTTCAGGCTTTCAGCTAAACTTTAAATCTGCATAAAGTTTGCTAAGTATTTACATTATATAATAGTACCGGTTGATTCATGACTAATTTCGAAGATTTAAAAGTCTTTTATTAATCACTTAAAGTATGATTAATTTGTTCGTCTTATGTTGGCTAATGATGGAGCAGAATCTACTGTATGGATTCCTCTTCAAGAGTTGCTTCTCAGAGAGTGTATAATTTTAATTTGTCATCTCACATTTTAGTCATATTCCATCTCCATCAAGTCAAATTTAATAAGTGAATATCAGTCTTCGTAAATTATAACCAACTTATTGTCATCGTTTTTGTCTCTTTCATGCTGCTTGCTATATAACCATCCAATTGAGACCTAAGTTAGCATTATCAAATACTAAATCACTAATCTATTCGTCCCTATCAACGACTTTACTCAATTATATTGTTTTAGTTTAACAACCATGATCCATAACCTTTCCAATGCTCGTCACCACCAACACTACTTATCAAGTGAGAGATACTTCGTGTATCATATGATCTTACTAAAGAAAACACTGCATAAAATCAAACTGTAATGAAACTGTACGTATTTCGAATACAAAAATATCACATTATAACATGTATATAACTATATATGCATAAGCTATGTTAATGATATCATATTGTAATCAAGACTTGAGGTGACTCTGGAGGGTTCTCTGATTAATGAATTTCACAGGCGGGAAACAACCGAAAAGAATCTACTAAGTGACACGTAGCGAAATTTATTCAAATTGTTAAAAATATAAATGTATTTACTCAATTTTATCGATTTGTTACTATTACAACTATATAGATAGATACAATAAATAAGACAAATGGTTTTCATTTAGCTGCGTTGGAAGATGTTTCTAACGCTTGAATCCATGGGTTGATGATTCCCGGTGGTTGTCGGAGGAAGATCCGGTGCCAGCATTTCCGTCTCATATTCAGACCTTTTGCTAATGTCAGGTTAGAATATCATCAATTTGATTCCATGGCTTTAGCCAATTAGGAGGAATTTCGCTTATCAATGGAATTCTGCCACCCAATATTATTCCATGGCGTGCTATAAACATTTCGTTATCGATCCTTGCTATTTAATTAGTTAAAGTTTTTGGCCGCTTGATTAAAATATTATAGATCCCAAGTTTAATTCATCAATAAAAGGACAGTTATAATTATTTTTTGAAAATAATAATAAAGGACAGTTAAATTGTTGAGCATTAAGGAAGGAGGTCAACCAGGAGCTAGACTTTATGTAACGCATTGTTGCCGACAACCTTGGAAATATTTAAATATAATACTAAAATCAAAGCAACAATTATAGGTAATTACACTCTGTCTCAAAATTAGTCTCCAGTTTATATTTTTACATTTTAGTACATTTTGAACTAAAATTAAAAATCTAAATTGAACAATAATTTCGGTACGAAGGAGATACTGTATTATGAAGTGATGCCACACTACTAATCTCATCAATCTTAAGAAAAATAAAAAAGATATCCCCTCTGTCCCAACACTATTTTTCAGGATAAAAGGAGTATTAAATTTGTCCAAGGAGATTCAGATCTCTTGCTAATAGTAATTGTATCCCCCTCTAAATTCTTTAATTACACTCTGTCTCTACGCATTTGTAATTTCCAAATCTGCTACTGTGAAATGGGGGAATGGAGCAGAACAGCATCTTGCAAGTTGCAATTTATGGGTCATCGCAGGATGAAAAAAGATGCATGATTGAAAATTACTGGTTTTGGGGAAAAAAAAATACAGTACATCCCAAAAATGGTCCCAAAAAAAAAATATGCATTATTGATAATTACTGGCCAACAAATGGTCCAACAGAGACAACCAAAGTTATATCATAGCAGTGTAAAAATTCTGTGAGAATAAAATGTTTGGCCAAGAAGGGATCCTTTATTACAAGGTTTTCACACCTGTCCGACTTTGGGCTTTATAACATAGCAAATGGCTATAAATCAGGTCCATCATAGCATAATTAGAGAATATTTTGTGGGATCTAACCTAGGTGACTGGGAGAGGCTTTCCCAAGGATAAAATGGGCTAAGATATAAAGGATAAAACTGGCTTTGTACATGGGCAATGAATAAGGCAGCTTTGCGTAAACAAATTTGGGAGCATTCATTTTGGGGCGAAGATGGTTTAAATGAAAAGAAAAAGATTTTACATGTAATCGAAAGAAAAGACATTATGCATAATGAATTCACAGATCGCTAAAGAAAAGGAGCAAAATTATAGGTCAACCAAATCACATGGATCATGGATGTCGTCCACAATCACCCCTTGCTATAGAATAAAGTACACATCACGAGTACCCGGTGAACCAGCATTCCACCATCAATTATACTCTCGGAACCATTAATGCCTTAATGGCGTTATTTAAAGAGAAACAAAATCTGAAGCTACTTCTATAGCCAGGCAAGGGCAAGTCCCAGAAACCGGAAAAAAAAAAAATGGTTTAAGAGAGACAAGAGTAAGCTAAATCTTTCTCCTCAGAGAGCTCAGCAGCCGTCAAGTCCAACTTCTTCCTGGAGAACTCGTCAATAGAAAGTCCTGGTACACAAAAGCGAGCGTTAGGACAAAAGTACAGTAAATTTAACGTCGATGAGACTAGATATATAGTGACTGTGCAGGTAAGGCAGGGGAATAAGTAAATGAACTTGCACTACATGGTCATCAAAATGGAAATAGCAAGTAGAAAGTTCAGACTCAGATTGCGGCATATCGCATTTCCATCCAATCAAATCAAATGCAGAAGTATAAATGCATAATTAGAGTTGAGAACGCGCATGTAAGCTTGTATTAAGGACAAGTTTATCAAACACCTAGCTGTCTAAGACATGTTGAAACACATTTCAGGAACCAAACTTGCAATACTCAACTCATCATGCGGAAAGAAAAGTGTGAAGAGGATTAGAACTGATTTGGTGGATAAAATGGCTGCTCTTTGTAGGCCAGGATATCCAAAGAAAAAATTTTCATTTCAAAACTATCACAAATGGGCCACAGAAATGTCTCCACCCTCACCTTGAACAATAGACCATTCTCCATTCTTGCATGTGACAGGGAAGGAGTAAATAAGCCCAGCTGGGACATTGTAGGAGCCATCTGAATATACACCCATGGAGACAAAAGTACCCTGCAACACAAATTAAACCATAAGCCACATGGAAACGAGTGTCCAGCCAATCAATATAAATTTTCACACCATATGAAGAGATTTACCTCAGGAGTTCCAAGTACCCAATCACGGATGTGATCACAAGCAGAGCTGGCAGCAGAAAGTGCACTAGAAAGCTTCCTAGCCTTGATGATTGCAGCACCACGTTGTTGGACGGTGGAAATGAACTCTCCATTCAACCTAAATTTAACATGAAATAACTTTATTGTAACTATATGTGGTGTTAAAATTAAGGGACTAATACACAGAATCTTAACAAGTTAACAGAATCTCAATAACATCCACTGCTTACCATGCATCATCAGCAACAAGCTCTCGGACAGGCTTTTCTCCAGCCGGTGTTTTAACAGTGGCATGGTTGACATCAGGGTACTGGGTTGAGGAGTGATTTCCCCATATAATGGCATTTTTAACATCGCTAACTTGGACACCAAGTCTCTCAGAAATTTGACCAAGGGCCCTATTGTGGTCCAGTCGGGTTAAACAAGTAATGTTTTTAGCAGGGATCGATGGAGCAAATTCCTTCAGGATCAAAGCATTGGTGTTGGCAGGGTTGGCAACAACCAGAACCTGGGCAAGAACAGCAGAAGAGTTATACATGAGAAAATCATCAAGATAAATACATCATGGAACACGAAATTATTCATAAACATCTGACTTCATATCAACCTTGTGCATCATTCATAAACACCAAACTCTGCTTACAACATCTTATTTTAGCAGTATATCAGGGACAACTGTTGTCTAGCAGCAGTGTAGAGCAGAATTTTGTGCAAAAAATTCTACATGAGGTACATTTCAAACAATAGCAATAAATCCATCTCAGTGTAAAACACTAGAACCTCAATAGCTACGACGAAATGCTCACATGGACTACTTCAGGAGACCTCCAAATGGGATCACCTCAGAGCTTATTATATTCTTTTACAATCAAAAGGAATTTTATCTCAATCACAGAAACAGTTCTATCAAGTTCCAAATGCATGTCACAAAATCTAAATAAATGGAAAAATGCTCCGGCTAAGTAAGAAACTAGATTAGTATCACAAGTTTAAAGCGACTTAAAAACATCAATAGAGCAACCAAAAGTTTCACCAAAAAGCCTGAAAGAAGGTTATTGATGATATCCAAATAAAAGTACTCATGAACAACCTCAATGTATATTGATCTTTAACATAATACAATATGCTAATTACCTTGCAGTTAGGAGCAGCATGTTGTTCAAGGGCAGAGGCTTGTGACTTGTAGATAGAAACATTCTTAGCCATCACATCTTTTCTCTCCATTCCTTCTTTCCTTGGGAATCCACCAACCATGACAGCAACGTTCACACCAGTGCATGCCTCAACAGCGTCAGTTGTAGCAACAACACCTGGACCAGAATACAAAAACATCATTGAGAAATCTCCAGAAAGGTATATGACAGACTTGTAAAGTGACAATGTAGCAACTTCAATAAGGGAAAAATAATCAAGCAAGCAAGAAAATCAACCTTTGAGCAAAGGAAAAGCAGCATCAACCAATTCCATTTTAACTCCATTCAGAGCCTCAGCAGCAGGTGGGATATCAAGCATGTGAAGGATCACAGGCTGATCAGGTCCCAACATCACTCCTCTGGCAATCATGGGGACGAGGGCGTATCCAATTTGCCCTGAAATAGACAGTACAGTATCATTAAAATACACCTCCAATACCCCAAAGAAAAGACTACACAGTTAAAATTATCTACTGTCATATTTAGAAGCACTACAAGCGCTAATTTTCAAACTCTCCATTCAATTTCTATATTCTCCTCGAACAAAACGTCAGCCAAATCCCGGAAAACATTCTTTACACCAAACTAACAAGATTCAAAGAGAAAAAGCATCGGAAACATCGATTTAGTTCTATACACTTCATTAAACAAAATGATCTACAACTTAAAAACAACAGTCACAGAGTCGCAGCAGCGGGACTGAAACCTCATTTAAACCCCATCAAACTCATATGAATACCATATCAGTATAACTATAAATCAATATCCATAAATCACTAAGATCAAACTCCTTACCTACAAAAACACATGAAAAAAAAAAAGCTACAGATAACCAGAGCATCAAAATCGAATATTCGAACAAGCAGATCTACGATCAAAGTAAAAAAACTCGAACCACAACAACGAATAACAAAACTACAGTAACAATATTAAACTCCATGCTAATCAAACTCAGTGATCCGGCAAAAAAAAAAAAAAAAGAACACAAAAACAAAGAAAAAAGGAAATCGAAACGGATCAAAACGGCGAAAAAGTAGTAGTAGGGCAAAAGAGGCAGGGGGACAGAAAGAAACCTGCGGCGCCGGTGACGAGAACGCGAACTGGATCCTTCGCCATTGATACTGTTGGATTGGATTAGATCTGGAAAGTGAAGAGTTAGACTGAAGCGAAGAAGAGTGAGGACTGTGAGTGATATAATGCTAAAATGGGACTCTAGGGAATTGTGAAGGGGCAGAATGGCACAGAAGATATAGAGAAGGCTTTCTTTGCAACGACACCGTTTGGTTTCATCAGCTGATGATACAGCGACGTGGATTTTGAAGTGCGAGACTTTTTATTTGTTTGGTTTTGGTTAAATTGGATTTTCTTAAAACAAAAAAAAAAAAGAAAAATAAAACAAATATATCTGGTCCAGGTTTATTTGTTTTTTGAAATATGCTATGGTATTTTGAAGTTTAAAAATTATGATCCAGATAAAATATTATTCTTTCCATTCAAAAAAAAAAAAAAAATTAGTTTTGGAGACACAGCTGACCTTTGACTTGGGGGGAAAGGCATGCAAGAGTATGTCAACTACACGTAATATGGTGGTGCTCTAGATAGTATGGTAGGATCGAGTTTATATGATGGAACTCATCAAATATGCAAAATAATAATAATGATAATAAAATACTCTCTTCGTCCTAAAAAAAAGCCCATATCAAATTTTTGAAATTTGTAATATTTTTCTAAGATAGTGGAAGTATATATTATGGACAGAGGAAGTAATGAATTATATATATAAATCTTAAAATTCAATATAAACTATTTTTTTGGGGACAAAAGAAATACGTATTATGCAACTAATTAGACTCATTTTTTTATAAAACTAGATGGATTAGACGCGCTTCGCGCGTACGCAATATATAATAACGTAATAATAATTATGTAAAGAAAAAATAGTAAGTTATCTTACTGTCTAACACACTATCTACAAAATGTATTAACAAATTTATCAGAAACAAAAATAATATACTCAACAAATTGTTATCACTATAACTCTCACTTGTGATTTCAACGGTAGTGACGCACTTTGTCCTGATTGTATGAACATTGAAAAATAAAATAAAATCAAGTTTCTGTGCCACAAAAAAAAAAAAGAATAAAAAAGGAACAATTAAAAAATGAAGGGAAAAAAAAACCAAATTCAAGAAGATAAACATAGGGAGGAATAATGAAAGATGATTAATTCCGATAGACTTGAGAATGAGAGATGAAAATACAAAACTTGAAAGAAACAAAAAAAAAAAAAAGAGAAGTGACAAAAGCTTACATTCTTTAGAATTATATATAGGTAAATTTAGACTACATGATTTTTTATTTTCTTTTCAGTTATAGAACAATTTAAACTATCATTTAGGAATCTATTAAATTCAAAAAAAAGAAGAGAAGAAGAAAAGACATTTTGGAATTCAGAGTGATTATAATCACCGAAACCGTTTTTAGACTGATCAAATTCAACTAATAATGAGAAATAATGTTTTGGTAATCTTAAAAATAAAATTAAAGGTTGCAAAAACTGAAACCAGTTTAGACTGATCAAATCCTCCTAATAATGAATTTTTTGTAATCTTAAAGATAAAAGTTAATGCAAGGGAGATCAAAGGGTCACCATATATTGTTTGATGTTAAAGGACAATTTATTATCAAAAAAGTAGACATAAGGGAGTACTTTATTAGTATAAATTAAAAGATATTGAGCAGTAAATGAGATAATAATTGAATAAATTAGAAAAAATGTAAATGCTTTAGTCCAAATTAGATGAGAGATTACAAAAAAAGTAAAAAAATAAAAAAAATAAACCAAACAAAAAATTAAATAAGGACTACCAAACTTTTAAGGTTATTCTACAATTATAATATAGTATGACAAAGGCTTATTCGCGACCAATTATACGTTATTATTGTTATTATTATTATTATTATTTTGGGATGTGGACCGATTATACGTTACTGATAAGTAGTACATTTCTAAAGAAGGAACTCAAATTGAGCAAAGTCGCGAGTAAAATGTTACATTAACATGTACAAGAGTTGCACTTGTTCTTATACCAAGTATATGGTCCAATCCAATACAAATAAATATTTGAAGGAAGGAAAAAGAAAAAAGAAGACTTTTGATCAATTCTTTTACCAAAAAAAAACACATGGAGAAAAAGAATTGGGCGCATTTTTACTTCACCTAGTATGAGTAGTTTCAACAAACATTAACCCTACACACCTAAAAAGAAGAACTGAGAATTTTAGGATTCCTTCAAAAATTGGAAAGCCCAATGAAAAAAATAAAAAATTATATATATATATATATATATATATATATATATACTGTAATAATAAAAACAAACCCGACAATGATTTCCCAGGAAATCATACATTAAACACTCCGAGCCAACATCTCTTGAAAATCAAGAATCGATTGCTCCCTTTCAAGCTTCATTTCCATGCGGAACTTTGATATGAATTCCTCGGCTCTTTCATCCACCCCGCGAAATCGGGACAACGAATTCACAAATGAGATTTTGGAATAATTAGCATTTCCCTGAACTCGATGATCATTTTTAATACTACTATTCTTCCTCTCAAGAATCTTCACCTCCGCAGCTGGCCGGTTGACACTAATAATAATATGATGATGTTGTTCACAAACTTTTTCAATTTTCGCCTTTTCGCCGCCTAATATTGTTGATGATGAACTACTCGAACTCGATGTGATTACCGTATTGTGAATCCGGCCGGTGAGCCCTGGAAATAGTTCATCAACATGTATAGCTGATGATGATGATGATGATGAACTTGTCGTCGTTGACATGTATTGGTGACGGTTGTAATGAAAATGGTGGCGAGAACGAGGAGGCGATGAATGGCGCCGCTTAGTTATAAGGGAATGGATTGTAGTTGGGATGAGAACTCGAATCTTGTTGAGAGCTTTGATGTAGTTGTTTTTGGTTGTTTTGATGGATTTTTTGTTGATCCTCAAGTTTTGGAGTTTGGATCGGAATGTGAACTTGAAGTTCTTCCACGCCTTCTTAGCGGGCAGAAGCTTCTTTCCCAAGTTGAAGCTGGACATTCAAATCTCGAAAAGAAAAGGAAGATGTTTTGTTATAGTCTAATGGTTGTGATGAGAGAGTATTGGTGATCATCAATGATAAAGAGAAGAAGGTTTTATATATTTATCGACACAATAAATCAACTTAATTAGGCCAATGAAAGTTTGCTATTTCTAGGCTGGATTTGCCTTTTGTAATTCGGCATTTTCAGTTTGGTCAAGTTAGGACATCATGTTGGCACACATTCTTTTCTTGGCAATTGGCATCTTTTTTACTTCAGGAAGAAGGATCATGAATAAAGCGAACAGGTATTCCTTTCAAGTAAAATTCATGATATCAATGTTGCTTCAATTCCTTGATTTTTTATGATTGACAATCGTTTATAGAGTTCTATTTCAAAGTAACAGATTTGAGTATTTAGGATAACTGACGGAAATAAATCGAGAGTCGTTTTTGGTTTTCTGAGATTAATTAAAAAGAAAAATCAACAACCAACAAATATTTAGTCCAAGTGATAAAAGTATTGGATCAAGTCAAGTTAATTGTAATTCATGTTCAAATTTGAGCGTGCAACAGTCATTTACAAACCAAAACATGGCACCTAGCTCGAATATGATTTAGTTAGAGTAATGAGTTCAAATATACATAAAATAATTTATGCACTTTAGGCTAAAAATTATGCTAACTTTCGGCAAACCTTAACCAGCTAGGTACAGAATAGCTTGGCTGGAGAAACCTTAGTGCTGAAAAAGTTCCAAATGGAACTTTGTGCGTTGTATAGTGGGGGCTTCACTAGTGGAACACCAACATGAATTAGGGCCTACAATTCGGGCCCAATAATTTGTGTAGTCTTTTTCTTGAGAGAAAAGGAATTAAGCTACCAATTATTTGCTGTAATTAATTTATTTCCAGTCTATCCTTTCTAGTGTTATTTTGCTGGACGACTACTTTGTTCGTGAAGATTAAAGCTAATGGAAACTAATTTTGAAGAAAGGGAAATATAAAATGGAAGAGTATTTTGAAATTTATGGGCTTGTTTGGCCAACATTTTGTTTTAGTTTTTTATTTGAGTTTGAGATGTGATTTAAAATATGGTTTGAGATAAAATTTAAAAAGTTGTTTGGGTAATATTTTAAATAAAATATTCATATTTTTAAACCACCATTTCTACTACCGGCGCCGTCGTCGAGCCGCCCACAGCCGCTGCCGGCCGGCGACCGGCCAGTCGGCAGTTTGACGGCGGCGGCGGTGGGCGGTCCAGTGGCAGCAGAGGTGGTTCGGTGGTTGTAGATGAAAATTGTTTAAAAATAATGTTTAAAATAATTTTTAAAAAGTAAGTTAAAAAGTTGTTTGGATAGTATTGGGTTTTGTGTTTTGAAAGTATTTTAAGAGGTAACATGAGACAAAAAGGCAAAATAAAACTGGTCCAAACAAGGCCTATATTTTTTCCAATAAAATCTTTAAATTTTCATAAGGTTGAAGATATTAGAAAGAGGAAAAGATTTAGGCTGTCAAAGTCACCTTGGACTCCCATCTCAAAACCAATTGGCACTTATAAACAGGTGACAGATCTTTCACGACACCGATGTGGGATTCTTTGTCCCAACACCCTCTCTCAAGCCCAATGGATTATTTGGCACATTGGGGTTGCACAACACAACACAATTCACCAAATATACTGCTGGGTCAGTCAACAAGCCCGTACACACGGGTACATACTCACGGGTCCATAGTTATCACAGGTCCACAGATCGTGGGCTCTGATACCATGTCAAAATCACCTTGGGTTCCCATCTCAAAACCAATTGGCTGTGAGTGGGTTGACCTTTGGCACTTATAAACAGGTGACAGATCCTTCACGAAGAATCCCACATCGGTGTCGTGAACGATCTGTCACCTGTTTATAAGTGCCAATTGGTTTTGAGATGGGAGCCCAAGATGACTTTGACATGGTATCAAAGCCCACGATCTGTGGACTTGCGATAACTATGGACCTGCGTGTGCAGGCTTGGACCGTGTGTCGTGAACTTGCGTCAATCGCTTCCGTGCGCACGGGTGGGCTTGTGTACTGACCTGGCAGTATATCCGGAGTTGTAGACTGACCCAGCAGTATCTCTGGTGAATTATGTTATATTGTGCAACCCCAATGGGCCAAATACCCTATTGGGCTTGAGGGAGGGTGTTGGGACAAAGAATCCCACATCGGTGTCGTGAAGGATCTGTCACCTGTTTATAAGTGCCAAAAGTCAACCCACTCACAACCAATTGGTTTTGAGATGGGAGCCCAAGGTGATTTTGACATAGGCTTCGTATGTATATATGTTGTTTGGGTTTGTGCGTTAATGTTTCATATGAGTTTTAAAATTGATAATACAAAAAATATCTTCGAAATACAAACAAGTTTTCAAATCCGATTATGGCTGGCAAAGGAAGGTGGTGAGACAAGAAAAAGTGTAATATGTATTGGCTAAAATTACGTTTTGATGGTAGTAAATATGTAAAGTTGTGAATAAAAAATTTTAAAAGGTGAACACAATGACAAAATGTTTAAAACGATAGCATCAAATAGAGAATTATTCGAAACAAACTAAGCATAAAAAACACATTACCTGAATTTCTGGTTAATTTTCTAATGGCAATTCAATGTGAATAGTTGTCAGACACTGGAGATCGGAGAACTGATCGGAGAAGGTGATCGGGAATTTCAAGTAAGAAAGAGGGCAAGAAAAGAGAATTTCATATATTCATTTCATTCAACATAATTTTCCATAATGACTTTTCAACCCCAATAGACTATTTATGGTCCACAAGATTACAAAACTAACATTAAGCCTCTATTCTAGAATTGAGACCTCAATCAGCGTAAAGTAGTACCCACATGATTTAGAGGCTAACTACTACGAGTTTTACCGGGTCCATTCGGTTAAGGACTACAAGTTTTACCAAATCCAAAACAAAAGCTTTACTAATGGGTCTCTTTTTTCTTTTTGGTTAACGATCACGAGTTTTACCAGGTCCAAAAGGAAAGCCTTACTAATGGATTTCTTTTTTCTTTTTGGTTAACGACTACGAGTTTTACCAAGTCCAAAATAAAAGCCTTGCTAATGGATCTCTTTTTTCTTTTTGGTTAAAGTTTTACCAGGTCCAAAACAAAAGCCTTACTAATGGATTTCTTTTTTTCTTTTTGGTTAACGACTACGAGTTTTACCAGGTCCAAAACAAAAGTCTTATTAATGGATTTTCAAGCTATACTAGTACACTGCAGAATAATTTATTTTCATTCTTATCTTGTTGGGTATCTAACATAATTAACGCCATATTTCATTGTTTGGAAGCTTTTCTTAAGAAAAAAAGAAAAAATTAAAGTGAAAAGAAATAGTATGAATAGTAGTATATAGATATGTGTCAAAAATGTAAAAGGGATAGATTGAATCTTTCTATGTATATATATATATATATATATTGAATCTTTCTATATTAAAAAAAAAGATAAAGGGAAAAATAACACACGTAAGGTGAAATTGAAGTGAAATCAAACACAACAAAAAGGCTTGCTAATCCAAAACAATGGGGAAACCAAGCGGTAATCTTGTGTTATTGTAATGATTTTGAAGGGAACATGCGTTTTCCCTCTCAAAATATTCTTATCCAGCTGAATGAGATATTGATATGGTAAATATAAATAATTTTCATTTATCATGAAATTGAAGTTCAAACCTCGTTAGACATTTTAATTCGTTGAATAATTGGTGTACTTATTTTGCATTCAAATTAACAGGCAGCGTGTTAGCTTTGGTCATACTATATATATATATGTGTGTGTATACTTCAACTATTGCAAACTAATTCATTCTGGAACGGGAAAGCTAAAGTATTTTCTTTTGATTCCTTGTATAAAGGACTATTCAAAAATTTTAAATTAAGATCAGAGGGAATACTATATGATAGTCCTGCAAGATGGCGATTGTGTCGCAAACCTATGGGCACAAACTCTTGCGACTTTGGCAATACCAGTACTACGACACATTCAAGCAAGCCATCGTGTTTTTGTATTAAAATAAGTGTTTAAAAGAAAAAAACAAATTCAAGTGACGAAATTGTACGCGTGGTTACGTAGTAGATCAATCTCTATATAAATCTAAAATGGTAAGCCAAGTTTCCAAGCATCAAAACACATTAATTTTGATCTGAAATATTCCAATTATTTTCAGAGAGCAAAAAAAGCCGCAAAAATCCACGAAAATGGCCACAAAATGGGCACAATTTGTCATTTTGGCAATCCTATTGAGCATAGCACCGTTAGGCCAAGCCATTCCAAGTCAAACCGAAGAAGCAGTCGACAAATGGTTCAAAAACCTTCCACATGCAAAACCCAAATACGAAAAGCTTCACTTTTTCATCCACGAGCTCGTCACCGGCCCTAATATAACCATCGTGCCTGTCGCGAAATCCAATTTCACCGATAAATTGTCATCTCGATTCGGATTAGTATATGTTATCGATGAGCCATTAAAGGTGGGAGCCAGTCCGGATTCGGAGACAATCGGCCGCGTCGAAGGGCTCGATGTTTCGTCGTCGAAAGAGAAGCTAACTATGCTGGCGGCATTTAATTTTGTCGTCACTAAAGGCCAACACAAAGGCAGCACTCTCAGCGTTTTGGGACGCCTGGCGGATTATTCCGACAACCACGAGTTTCCGATATTGGGTGGCTCCGGTGATTTCAGGCTGGCACAAGGATTTATCGTTTTTAAAGTTTACTCGGTTGATCCCGCCACTGGAAACGTTATTGTTGAATGCCGCGCACAATTTCTGCATTACTGATGATGATTATAGTACCTCTTGATTAAAAATATGCATCACTTTCGCCATTTAATTTAATCAATACAGTTTAATTTAAAGGGGAAACAATAAAATGAATATATTGGATTAAGATAGAAAGGATTTGGATGTCTGTACTTCAGAGTGTTAGTATCTAAACTGTTTATAAATATATTTAACAACAAAATGAGTTAGATTCTATGTTTTGCATTCTTCATCAATGTGATTAGCATGTAATTCAATTAGTTGAAAAAAAGAAAGATAAATACTTCAGTATATGTGTTGTAGTTTGAGAAATATTTTTCCTTTTTTTTTTTAATTACGCACCCGATGTTTTACTTTAAGAAATATTAAAATTGAAGAAGTTTGTAAAAGTACTGATCAAATTATTAGATCGCTAATTCTGCGACGGAATGATGAGTATTAATAAATGTCATTTAAATAACACAATTTCTAGGAAACTGATTAGATGGTTTAGAACTCCAAACGGGATGCATTAGCAAGAAGAGATGTCAAAGACGTTTTCGTTTACCTTTCTTTGACTAATTCTAAGGCTCTTATTATACCTTAACTAACTCGTTTAAAATCAAAACTTGGGCTAGAACCGATGATTAGTAAACTTAATTAGTACCGCCAATCGTCATCATGATTAATTAATCTCTAAATACTAATGTCTGGTGATACCCGCTACACTTTCTGATATCCTAATAGTTTAACTTAGTATATGGTTTTTGACAAATACTAGGTTTTAATAAATCTGTCTCCCTTTGTAGCCCCTTTATAATCAAGCGTAAATAATGTCTCAAATTCTAGGGAAAATTTGATGTAAATCAGCGGCAGGTAGAAATTGGAAGAAGAGAGATAAAAATATACACCTCTGTTCCAAAATAATAGTGCACATTGAGTTTTCAAATTTGTACTAAAAATAGTATAAAACTCAAAACTCAATGTGAATTATTTTTGTGAGACGGAGGTACTACTTTTACTAGTTTCTCTCTGAATCAAACATTCATTTCATCCTAGCCCCTCCACCTATTTCATTAGGCTTTTTCAATCAGCAGTGTGGATAAAAACATGGACCATTATCAATATGCATGGACGTTGGAGAAGTACATGATCATAATTCATATATACAAATAAGGTTCACGTACGTTCATAAAGGACAAAATTAGCTGGACCATCAATTAGATTTGGACTAATGCTTCAATGGCCATACACTGATCTAAGCAGATCGAAACATATCTATGCTTATTAATTTTCCAGTGCATTTTCTATCTAGCTATCCGTTAGGAAGAGCATACTAATATTCTTAATAATAAATTATTACGTACATTTCCACAACACAGGAGTTGAGTTTAATTTCACTGGTCAATTGGACACTTCTCATAAAAGATGAATCCCTTTGTCCTTTCAGAAATTAACGGGAAGCCACAGACCATGAGTATTTTTGGTCTCTTGCTGAATGTGAAATTTCAGTAAAGCTATATGTTTTCAATCCCAAACCATTTCATGAACGTCAAAATTGCAATTACTTTTGGCACCTCAAACTAGTTCATTCATAATACGCTATCTACGTCTCATAAAAATATTCCATTTGAACTTTACCAAACATTAGTACTAATTACAGTTATACGCTAAAATTCTAGTTACCAAGTTGGATCGATGCATCGGATCCCTCACGTAATACAGCCTTCAATCATCCAAAGGCTTTTAATCGTTTTCGATCCAAAAAGTCTTCTTGATTGGGATCATCATGTTTTTTCTTTGGATGCTCCATTTTCCATATGTAGCCCGGAAAGGTATGAATTAATTCATCGGTGTAATTTTTTGGTTTTTCCCTGTAAAAGCTGCTTTTGTGAAAGTGATTTGTATTTTGCATACGTAAAAGTACACAACGTTATCTATGGGACGGTTTCGAGAAGCGATTAGAATTCACATTGTAAGGCCAAGAATTTGTCACGGATGGATGAAGAAAGTTATGGGCAAGCAATTATTTGTTCGTATGATTTTGGGACCCGTTTACAGTTCACCTCTATTATCTACTGGGATGCATGATGGGAAAGGATATGCTCTGTCATGCTCATTGAACATATGGGGAAATTACCCTGTCTCGACATGATTATTATTATTTTTTTTTATAATTTTTAAAATTAGTTAGATTATCTACTCAATACATGATTATTGTTCGATTTAAGATTTTACTTTTGATATAATTTGAATTAGAAATGAAAATTGGGATAGAGAGTATAAAACATCCTACATTTTGACAAATTACTAAGCTGCATGCTAATTAACTCTGTCTCTCTTTTACAAATGGTTGTTATGTTAGTTGCAGTATATAACACACCATTTAAGCATAATTATCATTTTTAAATTGTAAACAAGTTCGATCATCAAAGTACCATGCATCATCTCTAGTGTGAAGTGGAGGCCAAAAAATCCTGGTTTTATTTATTTATTTATTTTAAAAAAACATGAAATGTTATGCATGGATGCACCCATGCAGACTTGCAAGGCCAAGAAATCTTTTTGTCATATTTTGAATAAAAATATTGTTGGTGAAATCCGCTCCGGGATCCGTAAATTGATTTTTTTTTTCCGTTCTATAAATCTCCAACAATTTCCTTCACTCTGAAACAAAATTACATAACAATCCCAGTAAAGTGATTCTAGAGTGTCATTCATAGCCATGAAGATCAGATCCTTAGTGTTTCTTGCAATTGCTTTGACAATGGCACCATTAGGTCAAACCCTTCTTCCTGATCAAAGTGAAGAAGCCGTTGATAAATATTTCACCAAGCTTTCTCATGCAAAACCCAAATATGAAAAGATCCGACTCTTTATCCACGACGTCGCCAGCGGGCCGAATCCGAGCATCGTCCCGGTAGCCCGCGCCAACGGCACGGCTAAATCCAAAACCCAGTTCGGAATAGTTAACGTTGTCGACGATAGATTGACAACCGGACCCGAAGACAAGTCCAGGGAAGTTGGCTATGTTCAGGGTGTTTATGTTTCGGCATCCAAGGAGAATGTAAGTTTGCTTGTGGCACTTAATTTTGTGTTCACTAATAAGGAGTACAATGGTAGCACTCTCAGCGTTTTGGGACGGATCGCGGAGTTTTCCGACAACCGGGAGTTCCCGGTGTTGGGCGGTTCCGGTTGTTTCCGTCTGGCGCAAGGAATCGTTGTCGCTAAAGTTCACTCGGCGGATGCTTCCACAGGAAACCGTATCGTTGAGTGCCGTTTCCATTTCTTGCATTATTGATGAGTTTCTTTTTTTTTTTTTTTTCACTTTGGGCTATCCGGGGCGTTTGAAATTATATTTTAGTTAACTTTCGGTGTAAGTTTAATCTACTCTCCGTTCAAATTTAAAATGTTTGAATACCAACGTGGTGTAATAAACTAGGAACTCCAAGTTATTGTCTCCTTCATTATACAAAAAAAAAAATTAGTAATTTTTTCTTGATATACTTTTTTCGTCTCACATAAATAGTTTATTTTATTGTATTGTTATGATTGAAAATATTGGACTTTTTTTTTCGACAAAGAAAATATTATTTCATAATTCAACAAAAGTAACGTAACCATCACTTAAAAGAGATAGAATTTGAACAAATATTAAGCTCTTCTTAATAATAAATTACTAATTATATGTAATCAAATCATTTCCCCTTTCCTTCAACTGTTGCCAAAAAAAATCGAGGGAAAAATACTTATGTCGTCTCTTACCGTGGAAGGCTAGCTGTGAAACTTGTAGATTTACATACACATCGATGGGACCCTCTTAAAGTAGCCTATCTCAACCCACTATTTCAATTCTGACAACTCTTCAATGATTGGCATCACCAGGATTTCCTATTGAAGCTTCATTTGGAAGGTTTTTTTTTTTTTTTCTATCATTGGTGTAAATTAAATCCGAGTCTAATATCAAGAAATACATCATCTTAATTATTAAATTGTCATTTAATTTTTTTGAGAGCTTACAATTTAAATCTTTCGTTGATGTGATTTGTTGTTTTCTATTCCAAACGACTCTTGTTACGTGACAATGATTATATATAACACCATTATCCAGTATAAATATCATCCTCAACACCGAAAAATTGTCCCAGTACGGGAATGTGATTTCTAACCTTGGGAGTAAAGCCCTAAATCGAACTTTGAGAGATTGAAGAATGTCGTTTAGAATGAGCGAGATGAGAATCTGTAAGTATTCAAAGGCTATTACCTTGTTCAATGTAGAAAAAAACTTTTAAAAATGAAAATTATATGTGTAGGGAAAAGGTATTAGTAAAAAAAAAAAAGAGTACCTTATGTGTATTTCTATTTTGTTGCTGAAATTTTATTTTTTCCTCTAAAATTATATTTTTACTTCTACTTGTCACGTAAGCATTAGTCATTGTACATTCTCACCAGTGGCGGAACTAGGGGGGACGGCGGGGGCGGTCGCACCTGTTCAATTTTTTGTAATTAGTAGGGATATCTTAAATTTTAATAGAAATTATCCGTTAAACAATTTTTCGCACCCCTAAATTGATTCTCTAATATCATTAGTAGTTTTGTCTAAATTTTGCAGCTCCAATATTGATTTCCTAGCTCCGCCACTGATTCTCACCCTATTTTTTTTTTTCCTTGTCACGCTATCATTGCTCTTTTAAAATTGCCGTAGCAATTTTGACCTCAAATGTTATCTTGAATAAGTTGCCCTTTCATTGTAAAATTTTCAAACACTTTTCATAAGTTTTTTTTACATGATTTCACATAGGATTAAGAGACGTATTTATCGACACACGTATATCTTTGTTTACACACTAAAAAAAAAAAAATTCTATTCGAAACAGTTAATACATCAACTATAGTCCAACGGAACTATTTATGGGAGCGGCTTAAGATTTGACGGATGAAAATAGCTCGATGGGCAGTGAGTTGTTGATTTATTGTACGTGCATGGGTCCATGAATGAAGACTAAATTAAGCACAAGCTATCTTCAATCTGACAAAAGCGTCTTTTGTGATGAAAATTGAAACAGATCGATCTGTGAGAGCGGCTGTATTTATTTTGTTTTATAAAGATAAAAGAAGTTACTCCAAGAACAAAAACATGTTTATTGAGAACCTAAAACGTTGTTTGTACATTGTGGAAGACTGACTATTCCAACGTGTTAACTTCCCAAATAGTAATAATTGTATGTGTAACAATAACATTATTATAATGGATTTAAATAGTGACTTAGTAACGTGTCCAAAATCTCACGTACGTCAATCTAGTAATCTGTCAATCGTAGGAGTAGATAAATCATTCTAAACAGACCTAGGTAATTTGTTATGGAAAACACAAGTGATCTAAGCCAAAAATTAACCCTACAATATCTATATTAACTGTATGAATGAATGCGCAATGTCGTCTTTTATTTTTTTGAACAACATTTGTTGCAAACTTGACCGAACAAATTACTCAGATGGAAGTTCGAAAATCAACGGTAAACATTATCCCTTTCTCAAGTGCAATGATTAAGAACTCGCAATGCCAGAGAGGAACAACACATGGAGACTAGCAATAAATATGCACACATGATAACGTACGAATTCTTGTTCCTTCTTATTTTTATTATCATTATTGGATTTAAGTTTTTTTTTAGTACTCCCTCCGTCCCATAATTATTGTTCACTTTACTCAAAAAATTTTGTCCCAAAATTATTGTCTAATTTGACTTTTTATGGATCAAATTACACATTTGTCCTTAGTAAAAAACATTATCCATAAAATCTTAGTGGTTAAACAATTACTTATGTAGGGGTATATCCGATTGTTTAAGGTAAAATATAGTTAAGTTTGACCAAAAATAAAATATTTCATTTTAGTAAAACTGGACAATAATTATGGGACGGAGGGAGTATTTTGCAAAAATTTAAAACGTGGTACCAATTTGAGGTGACTACTTCTTTCTATAAATTTCCTACAATTTTCTTCATTCAAAAGCCCAATTGATTATTCTTGAAGATGAAATCTTCTCTAGCATTACTAATGCTTCTTGCAATGGCGCTGATCATGGCACCATTATTAGGTCAAGCCCTTCCGGGTCAAAGTGAAAAAGCCGTAGACAAATGGTTCAAAAAGCAAGCTCATGCAAAGCCTAAAATGTCAAAGATCCGGCTCTTTATCCACGACGTTGCCAGCGGGCCGGATCCGAGCATCGTTCCGGTTGCAAAGGCCAACGGCACGGCCAAATCGAGAACTCAGTTCGGAGTCGTTAACGTCGTCGACGACTTGCTGACGTCACGCCCCGGAGACAAGTCCGAGGAAGTCGGTTATGTCCAAGGCGTCTATGTCTCGGCTTCGAAGGAAGCCGTTAGTTTGCTTGTGGCACTTAACTTTGTGTTCACGGACGCCAAGTACAACGGCAGCACTCTTAGTGTTTTGGGACGGATCGCGGAGTTTTCCGACAACCGGGAGTTCCCGGTGTTGGGTGGTTCCGGTAATTTCCGGCTGGCGCAAGGTATCGTCGTCGCTAAAGTTCACTCGGCCGATGCATCCACCGGAAACCGTATTGTTGAGTGCCGATTCCACGTTTTGCATTATGGATGATCAATTTTAAGGTTGATGTGGAAAAAATTATGACATTTTAGTGATCCTTTCTTTTCTGTCACATGATATGATGGTAACAATAAAACACTAAAATGAAACTTCGTTTTCACTTTGAATAACATTGTACCTCGTTTGTATTGGTTGGGATATGGCCGATGGGTCCATTCACTTGTTTTTTTCTTTAAGATTCTTCATCACTATTCCAATAAAATCAACTATTAACAAAAAATAAAAATATTGTTTTATTTTATAAGTCTTTTTTTAAGTGGAGGCAAGAATATGTTTTATTGTATTTATTGAAGTTCTGCATCGTTTGTCTAATCTATAATCGAGTGGAATGATTGAAATCGAGTTAGCTTGTGTTACGCTTATCAACATGAAGTATATATATGTTTCGGAAAATTAAATCTAGTGATACTAACAGACTATTATAGTGACACTAATAGTCTTTAATTAGCGTTTCATTTGGCTAACGTTGCATCCTTAAGTTCTGAAGTGCTTCAACGTCTTACTCATATGCCGGTGGAAACTTTACCGTGATTGGAATATAATGTGATTAATGCATCTGATCCACATAATATTATAATTTCTAGTTTTTAAGTTTCGCCTCTTTCGTTATACAAAAAAAAAAAAAAGAAGCACATTCACGTATTTATATTTCGCAGAAGGACAATAATGAGTTGTTGCACATGAATTTTATGAATTCTTCTCCCGATCCTTAGAGTATGACTTAAACAGAACCTCATATTGGTTGGATAATAGCCGAGATATATACAGTAAATCTCATAATGTGATAGGTTCATAAGGATTTTTGGTCCCCTCTTTCCTTCCTTTTCCCTCACGAGAGAGGAAAGCGCACCAACGTGGTCTTTTATCATGTTTGTACTATCGTCATAGTGTTGAAGCCAAAAACACAAAAAGATGTCGGCAATAAACGCAGAAGGTCAATTCACTTTGTCCCACAAAAATAGTTCACATTGAATTTTTAAATTTGTGCTGTTTTTAAGGACAAATACACTTTTGGTCCCTAAACTATGTGAAATCACAACTTTTGGTCATCATTAATTTTTTACTGATAAATCATTAAGTTTTTTATGTTTTATTAATTTTTTTCCTGAATTGGGACTCACAATGTATTTTCAAACAATAAAATCTGTCCCCAAATATTATTTTTCAACAATTTTAGTCACTTTAACAGAATTTTCAAAAAATTAATGGTTCAATTCAATTTTTCTTTAAATCTTTATTTTTATTGATTACTTAATGGATTGTGGATCACACAAGTCTTTGATCAAATTTTTTTAAAAAAACAAAACGAATTAAAAGAATAATGAAAGTATTTCTGACCAACTTCCTAAACCCCAATATACTGCTCTCGAGCGTTTCACCATTACCTCCACGCCAGCAAAGTAGCCCAGAAAAGAAGCCTCATTATTGATCGTTTTTGTTGTCTGTTTTTTTTTTTTGGAATTTATTTCTGGGGGAACAGAATATTTGGGAATTAGGAAGTTGGTCGGAAATATTTTTATTATTCGTTTAATTTTTTTAAAAAAAATCTGATCAAAGACTTGTGAGACCCACAATCCATTAAGTAATCAATAAAAAATAAAGATTTAAAGGAAAATTGAATTGAGCCATTAAATTTTTGCAAATTCTGTTAATGTGACTAAAATTGTTGAAAAAATAAAGATATTTGGAGAATGATTTTGTTATTTGAAAATACATTGTGGGTCTCAGTTCAGTAAAAACTAATAAAAAATAAAAACTTAATTGAGAAAAAAGTTGACCATTAAATTGACTAAAACTGTTGAACAAACAAAAAGGTGGTGACTAGGAAAAAAGAGTTGATCGTTAGTTAACCGTTAAATTGACTAAAACTGTTGAATAAATAAAAAAGTGGTGACTAATTTTGTCAGTAAAAAATTAATGGTGACCAAAAGTTGTGACCCCCATAGTTTAGGGACCAAAGTGCGTTTTGTCCTTATTTTAATTAAATAGTTAAAGACTTTTTTTTTGAACGGACATAAATTAATAAAATTTGTTGTGTAGAATTCGACCAATGGTCGATCATAGTTCATGGCTGCTACTGATAGTGTGGAAGCATAACATTGAATTATGAAGTGCGGGTAGAGCTCCAAACAAAGTATTCTATTCCTCCGGAGTTTATCATAAAACATTTTGATTTGTTCTAGATTTAATTTGAAATCTCTTTCTACTTGAAATAAAAATTTTAAAATTTTTTTCTAATAATTTAAAAAACACAATGAATGTGAAAATATATTTTTAATATTTTTTTACTAATTAAAAAGATATCATAGATGAAACTTAAGACAAAGTCTAAATGCCTTATAATAAGGACTGGAGGGAGTACTACACCATGTATGGTACCATTTAAGGAAAATAATCTAATTTGGAATACTAAGTTTTAAAAATTGAAGTGAAAGATAATGGGAAAAAAAAATAAAGTATATCATAAGTAGTTATCAAACTTATGGTAATTTTTTTCAAAATTGGATTATTTCCTGAAACTGTAAGAGTACAGATTTTGAAGTATGCATTTCTGTAAACAAAGGGAAAAAAAGGAAAAAGTATGCATGTACGGATATACGTAGTTCGAAATCAATGAGTGAGTGAGAGAATATACAATCTCAAAGCTCTCACCACTTAACCATTATCTCATGCGACCATTATATATGTCCTTCAACTAAGAAAGAACCAACTCAATTAAACTCTCTAGCTAGCTAGCTAATTAACACACAATTTCTCAGCTTTTTTCAAATCTAAGAAAAAACCCTATAATCAGTTATCCAAATGTTTAAATTACCGAAATTGAGCTTAGTCACAGTGCTTTTAGCTGCTGTGATGATGATAACCATGGAAACAACATTCATCCAAGCCAGCCATCATCATCATAAAATGGATAGTCCGGAACCGGTGGATGAATGGTTCGAAAAGCTCTCTCTCGCAAAGCCACAAAAAACGAAGCTTCATGTCTACATTCACGACCTTCTCTTTGGTAAAAACCAGAGTATTGTTCCAGTTGCTCGGGCCAATGGTACCTCAACTTCGCCGACCGAGTTCGGGTTGATTAACGTTGTCGACGACCCGTTAACACTCGGGCCGGATCTCAACTCGACGCGGGTCGGTCGGGTCGAAGGGGTCTATGTTTCGGCTTCCCAGGAGGTTGCGAGCATTCTTGTGGCGGTTAACTTCGTGTTTACGGATGGGAAGTATAAAGGCAGCACTCTCAGCGTTTTAGGGCGGATCCCGAAATTCGATAAGAATCGGGAGTTCCCAGTGTTGGGCGGTTCCGGGTTTTTCCGGCTGGCGCAAGGCGTCGTCACCGCCGCGGTTCTCCCGACGGATAAGGAAGGGAACCATGCTGTTGAATGCCAGTTCAAATTGGTGCATTATTGATTCTGACTTGGTTAGGGTACAAATCGCCATGAGATTGCAAAATAAGTGGTTTTGAATTTTTTGATATACTCTATTTGTTCCAGAAAAATAAAATAATTTACGGACTACAGTTTGGGATTTGCATTCTGGGAAATGAGCGATTATATCTCAAAGTTCTCTTTCCTTTCTTTTATATTCCTGTTACTTAGAAAGTCTGGTTCCTGTACCTTTTTTCTCCTTTGATATTGAACGTGATTCATCAAGAAAATTTGATTTATGATCAGTTTAATAATTTTCTCTATTTGATCTGTGTTTAAGTTACTTTGATTTTTCAATGTTCATGAAGTTTAATCTAGTACTAAAATTCTATTCATTGGCGTATTAAGAGAAGTATGAAAAATGTACCCAAAAAGAAGAACGAAATATGTTGGGGGGAAGAAAAGCAAACGAAAAGAAAATGAGAGGATTTCAGCAAGAATGAAATTCGCAACAACAGTATAATAGCAGACAGATCATTGTGATTTCTCATCCGCGTTCTCCAATAATTTTATTTTTTAGGTTTAATATATCTTTTTTTGTGTACTCGAACAAACAAAAGAAAGAATAAAAGAGGTGGGAATTGAATAAAAAAACCATTGGTTAGGGTTCTACATTTCTTGAGAGAGTAGCTCGGGTTTAATTTTTACCAAAAGGTTTGTAGAAAGAATTTTTTTTTTTTTCTCATTTAAGTGGAGTTCATTGTGGTAGATTTTTTTTTTTTGGAAAAAAGACAAAGTGAAGGAGATATGCATGAAGCGCTCCTATAACATTGTAAGTCAATTAAACACGAATAAATTTGGAATCCACAGAACAAAAACAAGTGTAGAAATTGTTTTTTTTTTAAAAAAATGGTATATATTATTTATTCTGAGATACCTATATTATTACATCTTATTCTTGTGTATACAAGATCATGTTAATCTCTAACCTCCAAACGGTTGGCTTTAATCAGACAGAAAAATTGAAAGCGAGAAATTAATACGCGTATTATCCTAACTATTTCTTGAGCCTCCAGGGGAGGGAATCAAGAGGATGATTTGAAACCAAGTGTAGAAACTGTTGAACATTCTCTCTGTGCGGAAACATATTTTTTATTGTTAAATTAAATAATTTATCAACTTAATTAATTTTCTAGAATGTGAGAGGTATTATTCTTATTTTCGTTATTATTTTTCGATTCCATAATCACTTCAATTCCGACCGTCACGAGTGACATAGTACGCTTCCACTAAAGATGTTTGGGACACACAACAATGTGCGGCCATCATGGTTTCCCAACGGTAAAGCTTATTTTAGTAGACTAAAGTCGTAACTGTTGGAATTTGGATTTTGTATTTCGTGTTGGATTTTAGTAGTAATTGACGGGCCATACTTTTCAATCCAAAAACAATTAATCATAAGTTGATGAACATGATAAACCTCCCGATCGACAAGAGAAAGCGACTTCTTTTCTTCGCAGTGAAAGATCATTAAGAAAATAATGTAATTACTTATATTGTTGTTATCTGACCGGAAAAATATCTAATCAATCTGTAAAGTTTATTAATTTGACTTCCTTTATTTCAAAATTATTGTATAGTTTATAATTTTTTCACTTTTAATTTAATTTGTATTAAAACTAAAAATTTAAACTGAACAATAATTCTAGTACGGAGGAAAATATTACTATTATTATTACATCACCTCGTGCAATTGGTTAAACATTTGCTTGTAGTTTCTTTTTCTTTTTTGTGTTACAATTTGCATCATCCGGTCAAGATTTTATACTTTGGTGGCTGTGGGCATGCCACGTACTACATCTGATATATGGTAACACCGTTAGATGGAATTTAGTAAAGTTTTCTATAAAAAATTGTTGAAATAATATATAATAATATTAAATGGTAAATAAAATTACAATTTCCATACGTACTGCATACCACATTGTGCGGATTTGATTGGAAGAAAGGAGAATCAATAAATCAATAAGAAAAAAGAACTATCTTTCGGTCAAAAATCTTCCTATTTAATTAGTTAACTTTTAAATATCAATTATTGTACATGTATCCTACCTATCATTGTGAAGGTAGGTTGGATTGCTGGGGACAGATCTCAAGTTCAAGATCTCCTGATTGGGAAAACATAACATCATGTAATGTGTTTGAGAACTGATGTCGTGTAATGTTGTTATTCATTGTTAAGGAAATAAAAGAAACTATTGTATTAATTCATTGAAATCATTGAACGTTGATTGGCAATATAAAAACCAATGATGAACGCTCAAATTACAGGCTGTCATGCTATTTACTATACTACTATACAATGAAAATTTTAGTAAATAATGGAAAAAGTGGAATACAATTATGGTATAAGAAGTGTTTTTTTTTTCCTAAAAAAAATAATTCACATAAAATTCCTCCGCACAATAATCAATATATCACACGCTAAATATTAAATCTGATCAAAGTATATTGCTAACGATATCATTAAATTCTAAGGTTACGCAATTAAATTCTAACGAACTAAATTTCACAACGTTATATCTAATCTTTTCTTTTTAACACCGTTCTTGTTGATATAACTATGAAATAAAAAAGTTGATAATAGTTAAACTTAAAATATTGGAAAGAATTGGTCCCTTCTTTACCGTTGTGAGAACTCTTTTGCCGACATGTCTTTTCACATTTTGCCTGTAGGAGAGGCTATCTAGAGACTCAGAGCATCATAGTAGAAAAGTAAGAGCCCACTGTCAAACAATCCAAAGTGTTAGGTGGTGAGCAGGCAGTGAAATAAAATGATTGTCTACTTTTTCCTTTTGAGAGGTTATATTCTCAACGTGTAACATGCATTTCTAGGCAAGGACCATTCAAGTTATTTCATTTCAACTTTTACGGAATTATGTTGCGCATTAAGTACAGCCAGCAAGCTTCACTTAATAGCTGCACTTAATAGCGCCTGATATTCACACTTTATTGCGCAGCGTGAAGCTGGCATCTGCGCACCCAATGCGCAGAATTTTATTTTTTTATTTATTAAATTTTTGGGTTTTAAAATTTTCTTTAATCTTCAAATGATTTTATTTTATAATCCGTAAAAATTAGATCAAGTGTCTTATATCATTTTAATTATACTTGATAAGATCTATCCAACAAAATCCCTCATGAATATATTTTTTGCAACTTAAAAAATTTATTAAATAACCTTAGTTTTCCTAAAAGGCATTCTAGTCTTACTTGTTGCTCCTAAGTGTTTTGTACAAACAGTTTGGTCTTTTTATTTGTTGCTGTAGGTCTTGACTTTTATGTATTCCCCTTCGTCTTCCTGAAAGACACAATGGCCATGCTTGTTTGTGCCGTAATACGATTAACTTTATAAATTTTTTTAAACCAATTAGGTCCTAGTCTAATTGGTTTAAAAAAATTAAACCAAGAAAAAAAATTTGAAACCAAGAAAAAAAAAATTAGTATGTTTAGGGTTTAGGTGGGTTTGACCATTTCCGTGTCGGTTAGGGTCAAGTTGTTTAGAGTTTAGGGTTTAAGGGGTTTAAGCATTTTCGTGTCGGTTAGGGCCTATTTTGTGCCGTACCACGATTAACCTTGAGACCCTAGCCATTTAAACCAATTAAACTAGGGTTGGTTTAAAAAAATTTAAACCAAGAAAAAAAAATTAGTATGTTTAGGGTTTAGGAGAGTTTGACCATTTCCATGTCGGTCAAGGTCTAGTTGTTTAGGGTTTAGGGTTTATGGGGGTTTAAGTATTTCTGTGTCGGTTAGAGCCTATTTTATACTGTAATACGATTAACCTTATAAATTTTTTTAAACCAATTAGGTTCTCGTTTAAAAAAATTTAAATCAAGAAAAAAAAATAGTATGTTTAAGGTTTAGGGGGGTTTGAGCATTTTTCCGTATCGGTTACGGTCTATTTGTTTAGGGTTTAGGGGTGTTTAAGTATTTCCGTATCGGTTAGAGCCTAGTTTGTTTCATAATACGATTAACCTTATAAATTTTTTTAAACCAATTAGGCTATTGGTTTAAAAAAATTTTTAAAAAAATTAGTATGTTTAGGGTTTAGGGGAGTTTGACCATGGTTAGTGTCTAGTTGTTTAGGGTTTAGGGCTTAGGGGGGTTTAAGTATTTCCGTGTCGGTTAGGGCCTAGTTTGTGCCGTAACACGATTAACCTTATAAATTTTTTAAAACCAATCAACTTTGGTATTTGGTATTTGGTATTTGGTCTTTGGTCATTGGCTTTTGGTCTTTGGTCTTTGGTCTTTGGATGTTGGGCTTCGGTCTTTGGTCTTAGGTATTTGACTTTTGGTTTTTGGTCTTGGGTCTTTGTTCCTCACACAACGCTCGCTCTTTCACTCTGGTCTTTGATCTTTGCTCTTTGATATTCAATTTTAGTCTATGGCCTTTGGCCTTTGGTCTTTTCCGTAGGTTTTGGTCCTAAAAGACACAATAAGACTAAAATGTCTTTTAGTAAGATCAATGCTACTGCATAAATTTTTTTAAGTTTCGAAAAACATATTCATGAAGGATCTTGTTAGATAGATATCGTCGAGTACTATCAAAATGATATAAGACACTTGATCTAATTATTTACGGATTAAGAAATAAAGTGATTTGAAAATTTAAGAAATTTTTAAAATCTAAAATTCTAAAATTGAAGGGAAGGGGCAGCGTGAGTTACACATTAAAAAAAATTGGGACTAACAAAACAAAAGGATGGTGTGCGCACGTGTGCTCACATTAAGTGCATCCTCCAATATACACTTTATGCTTATATTGGAATTAAATGCGATTTGTTGCATGGCAATTAGTAAAAGCTCGGGCTGCATTGGCTACGAAGCCTTGATAACTACTAGGGTTTGAAGTTTGAGCAGCTAATTATCTTCTCATGGTTTGTCAATCGAGTAAATGAATATCTTTTGAAAGACATGTTTGCGGGATAGATCATTTTGGAGATGCTTTTTTTTTTTCCTTACTTTTTTTTGTGCAATTAATTAATTTATTTTTATTTCTCAATATTCTGAAGTGTGTCTTAAACACACGTACTCATATTAAGTTCAGACATTTTTTTTAGTACAATGAAGAAATCCATAACCTAAATCAAAACTATCACTAAAAAATTCTATAAGAATGCACTGTGACCTTATGGAATTTCATATTTCAATGACCAAGTGGACTCTTTGTTGTAGTAAGCTGTAACCTAATTCCCCAAAAAAGTTCGAATTACCCTCGCCGTCTCATCTCATTTTTTCCAACCTTTATGCGTCATCCTTTACGTGCCCTTCATATTTTCAACCTAGTGATTAGCCTTCCGTTAAAAGAGAGTTCTGATAGCGAGGGCTGAAGAAATACCTAAATAGCTTTTGCGAAAAATTGTGTGCTACCATTGTTTA